CTTCCTTCCCCACCTGAAGAACACTCACCCTTAAGCTCAGCCAAAGCCGCCTCTGTACGGTCTCTGCCCTCAATGGAGTTACTCCTTCCTTCCCTCAGCGGTCACTAGCATTTATGTAAACACTTAAATTCTTGCTAGATTCTGCATTCCAGCAGGGCACAGACCACATTCTCTATATTCACCTTTGTCCAAATGCTCATCTCATGTTCAATACTTGATGAATTAAATCAGACTTTCTTAGATTTAAGGAAAAATATCAAATCAGTACCATTGTGATGAAATAAACCATACCAGTATTACAGAATGTCAAGAGGATAGATTGATTTCCGATTCTGATAAGGACAGTAGATTCTAAGGAGAATGAGGAAACCAAGGTGTGTGTTTTCTCCTCTGGGATCTGTCCTCTGAGTGTGTGTATAAGACCCTACTGCCAGCTCCAACTTTGAGGAAGGTTAAGAATCGGTAAGCCATAAAGTAGAGGCTGTTATTTATAACTATTTTCTGCACAATTTTTCCACTGCTAGAAAAATCAATCTGCTAAGAAACTGTTCTGTCACAAAGAGACCACTGATGAGCTCCCCGACCCTTCAGCATCAGTCTTCTGATAAAATGAATGACTCCTGTCTCTCCCTCAAGTTCTCGCTGCTTTAAGCCACTGAAATGGAACCAGCTCTCTCCTAAATCCTGCCAGCCACCCAGGGAATCACTGAAGGGAAAGCATCTTCAGACTGAACGCATTTTTGTATTAGATGAAATTTTTCAAATAAAAATGTAAAGCAACATTGATTCTATCTCCGTGGCATTACCAAGGACAGCATTATGCCACTTGTGTTTTGGGGGGACTGAGGACAGGAGACAAAATCGAGCTGGTGGTTCCCCGTCCCACATTCTTTACAGCAGGCCACCTAAGCAACTCTGTTTCTGGTACGCAAATACGGCTGCTAGCCCTGTTTTCCTTGCCAGGTCCAAAGGTACTTTGGAACATAGCTCGTATTATTTTAAAAAACAAACAAAGAAAAAAGGTCTGAGGTGATTGTAATAATCTAATCGGAGGGCAGAGAGAATATCGACCATAGCCAGCACTCAGACCAACATGTGTCCAAACAGTGAATATTTTTTTAAATATTAGGCTTTTGCCCTGGAAATTTGGAAATTCAAAAGGAATACATGTATTGAAAGAAGACTTTATGTAATGTTTTAAGCTTTAAAGTTCTTAAAATTCATTATTAAGGTTTCCCCAGTTTTAGAAGGCAAGGTTCCTATAACAATAAACTAAAACAATAAACACATGTAATTCTTGATGGGGACAGACGGGGACGGAGTTTTGCATTAGCTTGAGCAGTGGTGAACAGGAAAAGATTGTTCTCTGCAAATGGTGTGATTTCGGGAGGAACCCAACGGATCCTTCACCTCAGCGTAAATTAGTCAGCCTGTGATCGCCATTACAGCAGCATCGATACCAACGAGTGACAGGCAAAGAGTGAACGAATTTAGATTTCCTTGGCTGCCTCCTTTATCAGCCCCTCAATGTGCTTGCTGCACCCAGTTATTCAGCTCACTCTGTACAGACATTGGTATCTAACCTCAAATCAGAACCCAGGGTTAACTCTCTGCTCTCACTGTACAGGATCTAGGCTTTTCTTATGTCAAGGTGCTTTGCATCCAGTAACACAGGGGACAAAGTATAAACACTGTCCATAAAAATGTTTTAAACTGTTTGAAAAATGATTTGACCTAAGTAAGAAATTAATTTACACTGTGACCCACTATACACGTGGGCAAGTTTGCATGTATACACTAGTGAACAAGTTACATAAAACAATATTTCCCCTATGTACTGTAATTCTGATCATTTTTCTTCTACTCTATTTCACTTTTTTTAATGCTCGTTTTTATCCACTAAATTGATTTCACAGTCCATTATTGGGTCCTGACGTACAGTTTAAAACACAGTGATGCACAACACATTTTGAGACATGTAGCTATATTTCCTAAGTTAATCAATCTATCTGGAATTGTAAAATTCTAAGAAACAAATGTAAATTTCAGTAGAAATACCAAAAAAGAAGATTTCTTTTTTCTGGCCCATATGAAACACGAAGCATTGAAATGATTCTGAAGAACTGGTGGATATCTGAGTCATAACCAGTGGGAACGCAGATAAACACAGGGCAAAGGCTGGGCAGGAGCCCAGGGAAGAGTGGAACTCACCGAGCCCAGCCGACCTGCACGGCGGTAACGAGGCTGTTACGTCGACATTGCGATGCCGTCTCATTTTCCTTTGGCTGAAAGAAATGATTAAAAGACTCTCGGGCTTGGGAAGAACCTTAGATGTCAGATTCTATGTTCTCCTACCAGATGACAAAAGTAAATCAGCATTTCCTTTGATAATCTGACATCGACTTTGTTCCGATCCAAAAGTTAACTTCACAGTTAGAAGGAGGGTAAAAAAAAAAAAAGGTTCACTAAAACGTTCAACTTTCTGTCTCTCTTTTTTAAATAATTATTAGATTTTTATTAGTCGAGGGAGAGCAAATGAAAGAAATAAGGAACAAAAAATACATCTTAATCCTTAAGTACATCATACATTTATAATTTAAGCATATTTTAAAAGACCAATAGCCATCAGTTCAGAAAATATACCAACTTATGTCATAGGCCACCTTGTCAACTAAATTAATCTCCACTGTCCTTTGGCTCGGGAGACTGTCTTCTACATCTGACCTTGGTCTCTGTGATGGCATCAGAAACGATGCTGTTCAGTAGTTTCAAGTGAACACGGCTCTGGGGGCAGGTGCTTTTTTCCAAGAAAACTTCCACCCGGCTCTGCAGCTCTGCAGCTCGGCATGCCTGCCACCATCCTCTTCCAGCGACATCCGTGCCACCAACAGCCAACAGAGGAGAGGGCCAAGGCTCATGACGGCTGGTGCTGCACAGTCCGTGACAGGACTATACTCCACTCTAGTCAGGAATGGGTTCTGCAGCCTCTCGCCTGGCAGAGAGCTTGTCACCGGCACTTACGGGGTCTTCCAATGACTCTCACAGTCTGTAAGTTCAGAAAGTGCTTTCCAGCAGGCAGTGGCACCCACACCCGGTGGGACACACCTCCTGGGTCCTAAACCACTCCATCATGTGGCTGGTGTGTCCCCCATGCCCACAGGTCAGGCAGAAGTTGGATGATCCTCGAACTGCGACGTGGCAGATGGCACACTGGAACGTGAAGCCTTTGCAGATGGTGCACTGCGTGCCACGGACCTCGCTCCGGCAGTGGCTGCAGTACAAGCCAAACTCTGGAAGCAGGTGGAGACGGCCAAAACAAGAGACATGAGTTTAGTTCTGCAAAAGCAACCCGGGCACTGTGAGCTAGGAAAGGTGTATTCACCTTAGGACTCTGCAGGAGCCTATTAGACCAATGGTTTTCAATTTTCTGTTTTAAGTAGCAGAACCCCTTCTGCAATCTTAGTAAGTGTTATAAGCAGTGGCCTGGCACACGGCAGGCGACTAACAAGCCGTGCTGAAAAAACTGACGGACTCAAACACTCAGGCAAGAGCTGACTGGTCTTACCATCTCTTCCCTGACCAAGTCAGGGCACCACGGTGCCGCGGAGATGCAGTCAAGACCGTTCTGCTACGACCGGTCCCTAGCCTCCTGAGGGCTAATCCCACCGACCACTCATCTCAGTCTGCCTCCGTCACCACCATGAGCCCAGGCAACCCACGTTCACTGCCCGTGTCCCCCCGCTCACCCCTGCTGCTCCGGGGAGCCTTTCCGTCCCTGCTTAGCCTTCCTCTGTGCCACCTGGAACACAAGCTTCCCATGTGCTCTACGTACTTTTCTCAGAAGGGGCAGGGGCAGGAGGGGAGGGCACAGGCCCCATTATGCCTCCAGACTGTCACCTTTCCTCTTGAAGCTAATGCCATCTGGTTTCACCAGCCTCCCTCCCTCTCAGGCCTCTGCCCTCTCATCTCTAATCTAATCAGCCCCCTTCCGGCCGCAATTTCTCCTTCAGTCAGCCTGAATTACATGACCTAGCTTTATAATTGCTTTTTGGCAAACATCCTCAACATCTTTGCCCGTCTCTCCCTCCATGGTACCACCTGGCAAAACCTCAAACTGCATGAGCCCTATCACCTGCCCACACCTCCATGTCTGCCCCGGAGTGATCCCGAGGGACGGGAGACCGTCACAATGTGCCTCTCACTAAACACAAGACCACGGACAGACTCCCAGCCCTACGCAGTGGTCTGCTGCTGCTTCTCTTCCATTCTCCAGATGGCTACTTCATACCCACTGCATTCCAAAGACGCCCCCCTCACACCTTTGCTCCCCGCTCTCTGACACCCGATGGCCTCTTCTCTCACCTCCCTGAGAAAATGAAGCCTTCCAATAGGGCCCCTTCATCCCTCGGCCACCAAACTCTCAAGTCTCCCTGGGTCTGTTCTTCTTGTCCATCTCTCACAATAGAGAAAAGGTCCTTTCTTCTGTCACAGCCAGTTTCTCTGTTTTGTGACAATTAGTTGTCATAAAAACGTACTACTAAATACTTTTTAAATATATGGTAACTACAGAGAAAATTTTATGGTAGTCCTCGTTAAGGTAAATCATAATTTTGATTTAAAAATAGCTATGTCTTCACGCTCTCAGAACAACTTTTTATGTTACGTAAGACTTCAGTTTATGTTCTCGTAAAAAGCCTAATTAGTTTAAATTTCTTAAATTTCCTTTACTGGTTTTATTGGTTTGACAGGAGTCAACACTTAAAATTATGAGACTGTAAAAATTATGTGTACAAGTTAATGGAATTATAATAACATGTCTTTTAAAAAGGGTTGTTCTTTGGCACTTGAGATAACGGTAAATATAAACTTGATTATTCTCCATCTCTGGGTGAAATTATTAAAATGTCGTCTCTGAAAAATTCAACGTATCATTAGTAATTATGTTTCTCTACAGTGCGTCAGCTTAAACATAATTTCTAACATCCTTATTAACTTTAATATCTTGAACTAATATTTCATTTAGTTAACTAATGAAAATCTTTGGGGGTGTGTACAACTTTTAAGTGAATATAAATTCACAAAGATAGAAAATACAGAAACACTAAGTCACTGAGCATAATTTTAATATTTCTTTCTTGCCTCTCAGTGTTACACATAATGGACTGGCCATTAGTTAACAGTTGAGAAGGAAGTACGGACACCTTTGGGCCATGCTGGTATACATGTTAGCTTTGGCACTTTAGGTGATACAAAGGGACACAGTGTGTTCAGAATCACAAAGGTGTCTTTTACGGGAACACTGACAAACAGGAATCTCAAGGAAAGAAGCATACAACCACAGGTACGGGCTCTGCTGGGGAAACCTGGTAGCGGTGGAATGGATCATTTTTGGTTCCTAATAGACAATAAGGCAGTAAAAACACTGGCACACAGCAGAAAGATCGAATTATGATTCCTGAGGCTTCACGAAACCTCCAGGAGGAAGCTAACTCCAAAGGCTTAGTGTCATAGGTCTCCAGTTTGTTAACCATACAGAAGAGAGTATTAATAAACATCATCTATTACACAAATGTAAATAAAACCAGCCACATAAATGACAATAAATCAATCTGCTAAAGCAGAAAAATGCTGTATAAAATTTAGGTGAGCAGATAGATATGCACCTCTGGGGCAGGAACTGGGTCCAGGACTGACAAAGCAAAGTAATAACCTTGCTCAGCCACCATTACAACCAAGAGCCACATACCACAATGGAAAAAACAAAATCGAAAATCATCTTATTACCAGAGATTTTTTTTAAAAGAATACAATGCCTAGCATTATCCCCTCAAAATAAATGAAGTGAGTTTTTTTTTTAAAGAATACTATGCCTAGCATTTTCTCCTCAAAATAAATGAAGCTGTAAGTCCTTTCTATAAACATCTAATCTCCTAAATGAGAATAACTTTATCCCTCAAACTTGCTGCTGATACAGGATGACCCTTGCAGATGTGACAAGCGCCAGAGGAAATTGCTCATTTTCCACCCTGAGGAGACCAACGGTAGCCTTGGTAACCTTACTGTATTTTTTTTTCAATACCCGCTGTTTCCTGTATTTGAGCAATCTGACTCTTCCAAAGAGTAAAAACTTTAAGGATGAAAATATTTTTCTTAATATTTTTGTCTGTGGATCTATCTTTCATAATCTCCCCCCTTCTAAATCTTGTAATAATGTTTGTAATGGTATTAGGACATATTATTCATTTTTGAATATCACTTAAGTCTTCATAGCTAATGTTTCATCTCTCTTATTGGATTATAGACTTCTTGACCCACCCACCCAAACTGCACAGTACAGCCCACAGAACTCAGCGTGATTCTTTATAATAGTAAGATGTCAATAAGAGCTTAGCTGATTAGTGTATTAATACATCAGTTACATGTCTCTGTGATTCACATATTTTCCTGAAAACTAATTTTGAAAGACAAAATTGCTTCAGCCCATCATTAATCTTCCCTGATATGCTTTCATACATTTAGATGCTCTGAAAAATATATTGCCCATATACATATAGCCTTTGGTGTTTTGGCATTTCTTCTAGCGCACACACTAAAATAATCCGTTATAATAATCCTTTTATTCAACATCTAAATCTATGTATTACTCTGGCCTACTTGTTTCTTTAAGTGAAAGTATGTACACGTGCATAACTTAAAGAGTCAAATACTCTCTACTATGTGTTATTACCAAAACAGAATTCCCTTCCATCCCTCCCTAGGAAAATCCTTCCAGCCCATTTAACTGTTTCTTCTGTTTTTACCTTCTATCTTAATTTTCATATTTTAGCATTACCTACTGACTTTCTGCAGTGGAAGCTCTCGTTCACTCCCAGTCTCCCCAACTGCACACATATACCACCTCTCCCTCATCTTCCCTAGACAGTTCTATTATCATTTGGTCGGATCAGTCTTCTGTTTTTATATTATTTATCAAGCCTTGTATCAAGATAACTTTTCTTTTCTTGCACATTTTGCTTTTCCTACCATTGGTAACTATCTTGTTTTGTTCATTTGCTTAGTTTGCTATGTACTTACCAATAATTCATCTCTAAATGCTCCCTTAAATATCTGAGTCTACTATAAATACACTGGACACCAAAATACACTACCTATTTTTTCAATGTCCTCTTCTTGGAGACAACACTCCTGAAGCTCCAACCCGGACTAACCTACCTCTACCCAGTTGCTCAAGCTGGAAACCTAGGAATTATCTAAGCTTTGTGTCTTCCTCAACCCTACATCCATGTTGAATCTACCTCTAACATCTATCTTTAATCTATTCCTCTCTCCCCACCGCCGATTTGACCCCTAGACTAGGCCGTTGCTCTCTCTTGACCACTCTAAGTCCTCAAACGGTCTTCCTACCTCTACTGCTCTCCTCTAATCCTTTCTTCATATAAGAGCCAACACAAACCTCTTAAAATGGAAACCAGAGCAGTCACTTACTTCTTAATGGCCTTTGAAGCTTACCACTGGACTTAGAATACAATCCAAATTCTTTATTTACAAGTCCCTAATTATCCTACAATCTAATTTTATACCACTCTTCTCACTCACTGTATTCTAGCCACTCTGGGCTTCCTTGTTTAAAATAACAAGTTTCTTCTCCCACAGGCCTGCTCCCACTGCATGGAAGCGCTTCCTGCTGCCCTCGGCACGGATGGCTCCTTGTCTCAGACCTCGGCTCCACAGGGAGGCCTTTCCCAATACACCTCAATACATCTTCTAAAATTTTTCTCCCTGCTCTCCCTGCCCCCAAATCCTTTCCGTTTGCTCTTAAATACTCATCATAATTTTTAATTATTTAATTTTTCTCCTCCACTAAACTCTAAGTTCCACGAAGGGAAGGAATGTCCTAACACTGACGAAGAGGCGTTTGATAGATATTAGTTGAATAAATAAATAAATAGCCCTACTTCCAATCAATACCTGAGGATTGTATATAAAACTACTTCTGTTGCAATAAAAACTTAATCTTCTCATAAAATGCAAGGTTTTTCACAAAGTTTAAAATAGACTGAAATGCTTCAGAAATTTCTGCTTATAAAAGAGAAACCAAAATTTCATTCCAAGTCTATGTTTCGGACAAATTGAATTATAGAAGCTTTCAGATAATGACAGGAAAAGAAAAACATGCAGACTCACCGATCCCCTTGTGAGGGTCAGGGGGACAGGAAACGAACTTCAGCACTTCCGCTCGCTTCTCTCTCAGCCCCCAGCGGTAGAGGATTTCTCCGTAGCATTTCTTAAAGTCATCAAATTGTTGGGCATGGGCAGGGTCCAGGAGCCTGGATAGAATTCAAAAGATCTCCTGTCAGGTCCTTTAAGAAAAAACAAGCTAAACACTGAATGGCACTTGATATACTTTTCTTAATGCAAGAGTCCTAATTTTGGAGAATCTAAGCACTATGAAATTGTGGGAAGGTCGTTACCTTTTATTTTTATCATGCTGGTCACGTTCTCGCTCCCGAGGGTCACTGTAGGTCAGACTTCCAAAGCGGATTTCTTCTGGTGAAGACTCTCCCCAAGGTGAAGATATGTGTTCTATTTCTCTCCCCGCTGAAGAAAATCGAATGGGAAGGGAAGAAGGAAATCAGAGAAGACATGGAAAATCTCTGAAAACTCTCATAAAGCAGTGTGTGTCCAATTTATTCTCTACAATAAAAATAAGCCAAGTTGAAAATCTTGAAAAATATAACTAAATAGAAGTCTTCTCTAGCTTTACCTTTTTGTCTAGGTATTTATTATTACGGTCACCTGATAATTAAGTACACGCATAATGATTAAGCAAATTACGGTATAGTGATATAGTAGAATATTAGGCAGTCATTATTTATAAAGACTTTTTAAATGACATTAGAAAATGCTCATAAAATTAAAAATCGAACACAAAATCACATACACAGAAAGACCCCTCTCAGACTCCACATACGCAATGATTGAAAGAAAATGTTCTGAAATGATAACATGTTATTCGCAGGCGGGACGATCAGTGATGACTATTTTCGTCTCTGAGACTGTGTTTTGTTCTTTTCTTCACTATGCATGTATTACTTTTACAATCAAGAAAATACGATCTTTTTTGAAAAAAAGAAATTTTAAAAATCCAGAAAACACAAATACATCTACTCATTAAACAGACCTTTATGGCCACCTGGAATCAGGTTTCGCCTTACTTCTCTGAAGTGGAAGAGGTACACGGGAAGAGACATAACAGGAAGTGACAGATGACTATGGAAGGGGTGTATGATGGAGAAAGGACGGGGTTAGGTTTCTGGGGTGAACACTGGGAAGTCTCACTGTCAGTTTCCCAAGGTTATGGGATGAAAAGCAACCCAGAAAGGCACAAGACCTTCTAGAATTTGGCCTGTTCAAACGTGAAACTCCAGGCCTTTCTGACCACAGTATCGCCGTCATACTAAATTTTTTAAAAAATGAGAAACAAGGAAAAATGTACAGAATATTCGTCGACAAAAGATTACATATTATTAACAATTTGCACACAGCTTTTAGAGAACTAAGCAGACAGCGTGGACTGTGTCAGTTCCGTACCAACCTATGTTCCAGCCACCGGTATTGAGCCCTGGATCCGACATGCTGGAGCAGGAACCAGAGGAGGTAAAGCTGGGCTGCAGAACAAACAGAAGCAGCATCAGACGATCGTTCCCCATGACGTTTACTCTTAGAAAAAGTCAGACACCAACCAGAAAACCACGAGCTTACGTATCGACTATGGGACACTACAAGATTTGATGAGCGACTAGGAAAGGGCCCGAAAGGGTTTGGTATTCCCTGAGGCTGAGACTGGGCTTCGAACACGCTGCAGAGCATCGCCAGCGTCTGGACATCGCGGAGTCGGCAGTAATGAGCCAACCTAGAGAGAGTTGAGAGGAGAGAGAACAAGTCAAGAGAAGGGATGGGAGGAGGATACGAGCACAATCGTGGTGGGTCGCTGCCATAGGGACAGAAAGAGAGGGTGCTTAAGTCTTCCTCAAAAACCCCATCGGGAACCAGGGCTTACTACAGACGCAGATCTACTTTGGGTTTGGCTACATTTGCTTTGGAATAAAATATAAGTATTACAAATGACTTAGAAAACCAATCTGAAAGTTTCTGGTTGGCATCCAGGCATGGGTCCAGACCCGAACGTAGCTTCTCAAGAACTAAGTACACTAAACTAACACCTGAGTGAGGCCATAAATGCTCTCTCCCAACTCTACTGCCTTCTGGGAGGTTCCTATAAGCTTCATTCATAGAACCCAAAGCTATGTGAAGGTCCTCGGAGAACACTGCACCACCACAGCACAGCGAGCAGACAGACTCGGGAGGTGGAATTAGGAAGACGAGCTATTAAATAATAACAATAAGAAACAGTTTTACCTTTTAGGTACTCGCACCCCCTTTCCTCCTTTCAGGACCACCCGCCAGAATGTGAGGTGCTTGGCCTCTACGATGGAATTCTGATACCTTCCTACCAAGCACTGTCTTTAATACTTTTTAAGGTGCTTGTACACTCACTATCTCATTTGAGCCTCACATGAAGTGGGTAGAACAAGCACTGTCATCCCTGCGTTACCATGAGGCAACCAAAGCGTGAGCATGTGTGAACCAGGTCTGGCCTCAACCGGTAAGTAAAGCCAACCTCCTCCTGAAGCAAGCGGAGCTTCCTTCTCTGTCAGGACCTGGGCCATATTTCAGTGCAATATGAATTCAATATTTTCCTAAATTGCTTAATAGGGTGAAAGCATCACGGCTTTTGGAAAACATGAAAGCCAATACGTAATTCTCTAATCTGCTCTCGGGGCGAAAGTCTACGGGATCCAAGACATTTACCATCTCAAGAGCGCAAACTCTTGCGATCAGACTTACGGGCTAATGAATGCATAAATCTCTACGGGACATGTGAGTCTCAAATCCTTGTTCCAGATGCCACATACTCTACAGTTCCTTCTGCTATGAGAAGTTAGTTACGCACAGAAACTGCTGTGCCACAGAAAGGAAAGACCTCACTTCCACCTCTCATTTTCCTCACGTTTATGTCTCAAAACCTACAGGGATTCCAGCAGCTGTCGCCCGAATGGATGTCGAGCCCAGGGAGTTTCCAAATCTGGGTCAGACTTTGGACCAAGGCAAAGATCTGTAGCTACCGTAGCCAGCGACCAAACCTGGACAAATCAAAAAGAAACACCCAAACTGAGATCCGTGAGGACAGGGACGGGAAGTATGAAAGAACCCCACCTCTCTTTACCTACACCCCACCCTCTCTTTACCTACACCCCACCCTCTCTTTACCTACACACCTCTCTTTACTACTCTCACAGCCAGAAAAAACAGAATTTCAGGGCCCACTCCAGACCTACTGAATCAGAACTGGAATTTTAACAAGATTCTCAGAGGACTATAACATTTGAGAAACACTAGCCTTAAAAACTTTCATTAAGCAAACTTCGGAGAAATGACACCATGCAATAACTTCAACAGGTTGTCTATTTAGCTGCTAATTCATGTGTCTTTTTCTGCTGCTTCATTAGTGAACTGGCAGGGAGAGAAAAAAGTATCCTGCTTCACATTTAAGATCCGTCCTTCTTTAGCCAAATAATGAAAAACTGTGTTGCTTTCCTTAAAAGAGTTTCATTATACTCTCCAAAGCTACAGAAAAAAACAGGCCAAGACAAAATAGACTTGGCTTTCTTTTCTGATGACATCAAATCTGAGGAATATCTCCAAACTTGGAATCTCATGGTGCTTAGAGTCATCAAACAGAAATGAATGTCGATTAAGTATCTATCAAACCCAAGATTCAGCACACACAAAATACATCATGCCGTCAACAGTGCCCACCCAGCTCCATACATTTAAAACTGGAGCAGTGCTCTTGGGAAATCTTTCTCAGTAGCAACACGTCATTGTATGGCCACTGACTGGAAAGCACTATACTAGACTGTGAGATCCCCAAATGGAAGAAGTACAGATTTTAAATCAAGGAGTTTATAATCTAAGAAAAAAAAGAACAAGGAAATAAAAATACTGAAAAACAGGTAGAGAAACACATCAGATATGTTTAAAAAGTCAATTAAATTATGTGGCACCAACATGGTTAAACGATGCACACAAGTATTGGTTCAAATGAGAGACCCGAGGTTCTGTTCCTCTCGATCATCAATGACCCACCTGAATGGTTGCTGAAAGGGACAGAAAGGGTGTTTACCACCCCGGCTGACAACTTAGGCATATTATTTCTTCACTCATAATACACATTTCCTAATGCCTTCAACAGAAATAGTTGACAGTTAAGTTTATTTCTGCAACTCTTCACATAATTATAGGCACATCATCTTCGACATATGCATAAAGAATTTTTAAAAATTAAGCATTTGCATCGACGTCATTACTGGCCCACTAAAGAGTACCACACCACGAATGATGATGATTGTAAGAAGAACAGCAGTAATTGTATCATATTTTGGGTACTTACCATCTATCGGATATAGGTATGGGAATTTTATATTTTTACCTTAGTTCTCATAAGGACCTTAGAAGTATTGTTCCTATTTTATAATCGAGGAAATTGAGGTTCAGAAAGAGGAGGTGGCTGCCTAGGACCACACAACAAAAAAGTGACAGAGCTTAGATTTAAACTCGGGCCTGTCTGAACCCAGGGAAGGGAATTTCCACTTCACTTGGACTAGCCTGATCTTCTGAATCAACTTAATGAAAATATAAAAAACAAAACACTTTAGGAAGTAAGTCTTCTTAAGAGAATGTTTTTGGAACACGAGCACTGGGTTTGCCTTCGTATTGTATTTATTGCATCTTCTCACCAATCCTATGAGGTAATTATTCTTATGGTTCCCATTTTACAAATACACACAGAGGCTGAGAGAGTCTCAAATAATTTGCCCAGAGTCACACCCCTAGGGAGCTGAGCTGGACCTATACATCTTGCTATAAATTCCACAATAATTCTACTACTTCTTTTTGACTTCTCGCTGTTCACAGAACTTTAAGTGCCTGGGTCCTTATAGAAACATTATATCCATGACTAAAATTCACTTAAAAGGGTTTGGGGCAAACATTTGTTTATTAGAATACAAATGGAAATCTTAGGGATTTTTTTTACTCAGATAAAAATCAAAGGAAGGCCTTACTTAGCTCTGGGTCATTTGGAGGGTTATGAGGGGGAAAACTGAGCAGATAGGATAGTAGTTAGTAGTGTCCATTGCTTAATCTAATCCTCACACTAAAAAATAAAAGGTACAATAGAGACAGAGAATAGATTAGTGGTTGCCTAGGGCCAGGTGGGGTAAAATGAGATTGAGAGCTAAGGAATATGGGGTATCTTTTTAGGGTAATGAAAATGGTCTAAATTTATTTGTGGTGATGGTTGCAAAAGTCTGCAGAGCAACCTAAAAGCCACTGAATGGTACATTTTAAATGAATGAACTGCATGGTATATAAACTATATCTCAATAAAGCTGTTAAAAAAAAAAACCAATGTAGGAGCAGCTTGCTTTAATACACAACTGCGTTCCTGCAAAAAAATGAAGATTTAATATTTAAAGATTACATCATATTTTAACTCAACATGTCTCCTTAATCTAAAGGAATGTTCTGGTAAAGCTTTTATGAAATGAAGCCCTTTTAAAAGTAAAAAACAAACAAACAAACAAACAGAATTGAGGGTACAAATGGGAAAGATGTAGATACCCAAATTTAGGTATGTAACAATCACCATGGTATAGAATAGAAAAGAAATGTAATAAAAAATACTCAGTAAGTGATTTAAGACCTTCCCAACTAGCACTAATAAGAAAAATATCCAAGGGATTTAGAAAGCTGCTCTAGCCCTACAGTTTGGCAAAGAAATGAGAATTGCAAAACAGGAGGCACACCTTGAAATGTCACTAAACCACCACTATAAAGCGAAAACAATCTGCTCAAAAAGAAAATTCCAGATCTCCAGCAAAAGGGATGGATAATACCTGAACGAGGTCCCTCCTTCCAACAAGCAAGGCAGAAGTCGCATTCTTCTGACACGTCTCTTGAATATCATTTACATTCAGTCTGAAATTTACAAAGAATGTTAAAGTTCCTTTCTAGTCTAACTTCCTAAATCAATCATACCTGGTTTAACAACTAAGACTAAAAACTGCCTCTTTGGTTATCACTCAAAATGTTTTATCCATATTGGCCTAAAGCTCCCTTTCTACATGACTTGAAGAAAATGCTTAACTGCTGGCTGATATTATGCTGTGGGTTCCAGCCTAGAGAAGGAGAAATCTCACCTCTCCGAAGTCAGGAGAGGAGGCCAGACTCAAAGACCAATTTGCCAACCTGCTTTCCTGTGGAGTCCCCAGGCACAGCGGTTGAGTAAAAATGGATTCAAGTGCAACACTGTAGTTTCTAACACAGAGGAGCACACTGTGTATATCCTACAAAACAAATACTTTCTGTCACATGTTCAAGTCCAAGAGGAGGAGGAACCACCAGCCTGCCCCTGTATGCTTGTCACTCGCCTCCCAACTCCCTTTAACTAAAGTGGCTCTGTTTTCTCTATTGTAAAGATTGGGTTTAGGAGGCAGAGTTCTGAGACTGTTTCTAAGAGTTCTGCCCTGCTGTTAGGTACACTGTATAAGCCCCCGCTTTAAATGCAGGCGAGACCAATGAATACTAGTGGGACATCGCTCCCATGATTAGGTTATTATTATATTATTAATCAGTCGACTTTGAATTTGTCAAAAGGGAGATTATTCTGAGTGGGCCTGACCTAATCAGAGAATATCTTAGACAGTGAAGCAGCCGTGAGACCCGGCTGCTGGTTTGGAAGGAGATGAAATTAACCAGTTCTATGGGTGTAAAGAACTGAATTCTGCTCACAACCTGAGTGAGCTGGGAAGAGGATGCTAAGGAGTGGATAAGCACACCACCTAGTCAACTCCATGATTTCACCCTGGTGAGACCTGGGCAAGGACCCAGCTAAGCCGCACCCAGACTCCAAACAGGAAAACTGTGATAATAAAAGCATGCTGGTAATTTGTCATGCTGCAACAGAAAGCTAACACACTGTACTCCCCTAAAACTGCTTCTCCCTCCCCGCTTAAAACTGTTTTTGAAGAAAAGGTTCAAATACTTCTTTAGAAAACACAACTTTGAGAATAATCAGTAGTATTGTAATAACTATGTATGGTGTCGAATGGGTACTGGATTCATCAGGGTGATCGCTTCATAAGTTATATAAATGTCTAATCGCTGTGTTGTATGTCTGAAACTAATATAATATTGTATGTCAACTACAATCTTATAAATAAATATATGTAAATTTTTTTTTAAAACTTTGATAATCATGTGTAAGTGATAAGCACGGCAGACTTGAAATGCTGAACTTACATGTACAGTTCTCCCAGTGACTTGTGAACAGGAAGAAGGCATGCGATATCCTGGATGATAACTTTCCCAGCAGCCTTGATTGGTCGATTGCCGGAGTCCGATCCCTCGCGTTTACTTTTCCATCTCCTTGATTTCTGGGGGAGACGACAAGTTATAACTGATGGGGACTTTGCTGAATGGAAACTACAGTTGCAGAGCACATCATAGTTGGGTCATTGGTAATTTGCAGATAATTTGCATTACATCATGCCCACAATTATATGAATCAGCATCTATAGGAAATTAAAGGATGACAAAGGGCATTGAGCTCTTGGTCCAAAATTTTAACAATAATAAGCACCTACTACAGAACTGTATATATTCTGCAGGTGCTCTAAAACAGGTACCTTGAAGCCAGAATTTAAAAAATAGAGAAGAAAAAGAACAGGAAGTTAGTAAAGACCACACAAATGTGGGAGAAGAGCAACTTTTAAGGCTGGGTTCCGCTCTAGGTTCAAAGTTCTTGCTTGAAACTAATCAAAGTTTTTTTTTTTTTTCCTTCTCAGAGAGTTTTAATAGAATTTGTTGAGAACTTAATCCAGATACAGCAGTGTGAGCTCTGCAAACCTTAATCTATGGTAGGCAGACTGAAAAACTTAACAGCTCAAAGAGAATTACCCTGTTTTTTTTCTAGCAGACTTGAATTATTTCTAAAAGTGATAATTTTAGAATGTCAAAAATACCTGAGCAGAGGGACGTGGGTAATAGACATGGAAGATCATTAGCAATTATCCTATTTCCCCGGAGCCTTACCTACAGATGGCTACAGAGGAGCTACTGTATGAGGGAAATGACAGATATCATAGAAAATAAGAATTATTAGAGTGTAGCCCCATCTGGTATCTTCAAAATGACAATCTACCAAGGGAGTGATATTCTATTTTCTTTTATTGCCAGAAATTAAAAAGGGGGCCACCAAAGTGACTCAACTCAGGAGGGAGGTGACATATTTATTAACAAAGAAAGCAAAAGGAGCTAGTGAAAGGGTCTGCAATTTAGAGTCAGAAAATCAAGGTTTACTGGTCTTTTTGCCACATGTACTAGTTCAAGGTGACCCTGGGCAAGTTACTTATTTGCTGTGAATTGAATCTCATGTCACTCTCTCCTCGCTCACTGGTCACTTGTGGCTCAGGGTGAGCCGTGTCGTTCCAATCTCACCAGGTTATAAGTGTACAACGAAAAGGAGAGAGTGCAAATGGTGTAAACTGAAAGAGTACAATTTTAAAATCTGTAATTTTTAGAAATGTGTATAAACCCACAGGAATTTAGATTAGATCATTATTTAGATGAAGCACAAATTCGTTTTCCACAAGTGATTTTTATACAATCACTCTGATATAAATTAGTCACGTTGAGCATTTCTTATCACTGATGTCCCATCTAATCCCCAAAGTTGTCTAATGCATGTAACTTCCTACATGACTGGTAAGTGTTATGGAATCTAGTAAATCCAGGACACTCGGACTTGGTTCGCAGAAGGTAAATGAGGTTTAGCTGAAGTATCTGGATTGCTTATCGTAACTGGTAAAGACATATGCTACATTATCAACATGGACCTTAACCCATTTGATCTTAAGAAGCAGTTCAGTTCCTAATTACTATTTATCCATTCACAAGACATTATTCTGCAATAGAAGAGGAAGCTTAATATATTATGGTGGGGTAGCCCTTCAATTCCCTGCTAGCCTTGGTTATTTTCTAAAAAAGAATTATGTGTGTACTCACTATCCTTTTAGCCACAAATATCCTGACGTGGGTGCGAGTAAGGGGAGAATGTGCTGAAAAGCAAACAATCTGTCAGAATGGGCTGGAGCCAGGCAGTGTTAACGGACACAAGACGATGTCATCACGCGTGCACTAGTACTATTACACGGCTGGTTCTAAAGAGTGGAATTGGGCATACATCTACCCAGCAATAACAGCGTCAGCACAATGTGCTTAACTAGAACAGGGAGGCTATAAGTGCACACACTCATGTCACTGTGATTTTCAACCTCGTTTCCAGGAGTATAAAAATCCCAGGAAACGACAAACCCACAAGTCCCACGTAACTGGGCGTCAGAGATGAGATTTAGGGTACTGGATTTTAAAGAGAGAAAGAGAAAGAATGAGATAAGAGAGAAGGGAGAGAGAAAGAGAAATCAGAGTGAGAGGAGAGAGAGATGAGCGTGAGAGAAAGGAGGGGGTCATGCGTGCGTGCGTGTGTGTGTTTGCACGCACGTGTGTATGTGCGTGAGAGAGCGCGAGAGAGAGAGAAAGGAGGGGGAAGGGAGGGAAGAAAGAGAAGGAAAGGAAGGAGGGAAGAAGGGAGGGATGGGTGGAAGGAGGAAAGAAGGAAGGAAGGAAAAGATCTACTCTAAAAAGATTCAACTAAGAAGAGAATATGATCCAACTAATTTGGTCATTGAGTTGGTTGGAAGGCTTTTAAAATGCTGTTCCAGGCACCCTGGCTCCTTATTACAAAGAGAAAATGAGAAGCACTTGAACAATTGAGCAATTCACTATAGCTGCATTTAACTAACTGGGAAATAAACAAAGCCTCATGAGGGATGGGGTCTACCGCTTTCAGACCACAGTGAAAACCACAATTCCCTGACTTTTTAAACAAACATGATGAAAATAGAATACTAAGTGGTTCATTTGCAAATAGACTAGCTCATTGAAAAATGTTTTTCCTAGCAGAATTGAATTTTTTCTAAAAACGTTCATTTTAAAATGTCAAAAATCCTTGAGCAGAGGGACGTGGGTAATGGACATGGAGGATCATGAGCAATTATCTTATTTCCCCGGAGCCTGACCTACAGATGGCGGCACAGGAGCCCGTATGGGAAATGAGATGTCCTGGCCACAAGTCCAAGTGTACAGATGTTTGACTCAGGATTTAAAGGCTTGCCTGTTGTTATTAACATCAGCTCCTGCTATGAACTGCTCACTCCGTGCGAGCGTGAGCCTCACCACAGCTCGCTGACAGAGTGGGTGCTGTCTCCATCACTCAAGGCCACACTCAGGAGAGCTGAGATTTGAACACAGGCCTCTCAGGTTGCTAAGCCCATACTTGTTAATCTGTTTTTAAGAGCATGATTTTAGATTGAAAAGGAAAAAAATTAAGGCCTGACTAACTCACTATGTAAACAGTTTGTTCTACTTTTCAATGGATCTATTTCTGCACATAAGGAGATCAACATCAGATTCTAGCGAGGCCTACCCAGCACGCCGTCATCTACAATCATTCCCCTCTAAAGTCACTTCTCTGCCGAGCACCATGGCTACATTCTGCTGAGCCAGACGGTGTGCTGAGGACGGGGCACGCCTGGCTCACACTCAGATGCTGTGTTTCAGGCCCGGCTCAAGAGCCTGTACCTCACACCGTTTCATTGCCTTTCTAGATCTGTGAGGATTAGGTGCAATCATAGAGAAGACGCCTCAGGGTCCACAGAGATGCCTTAGGACTCTTCCCCCATTTGCCGTCTTGGGTTAGAGATCAGGTTAGAGATCGGTAGAAACAAACCAGTGTGAGGCATCAGTAAGTATCTGATGAATATGTGAAGATGGCAGTGTTGGGGCTACTTTCTGCAATTATCCTTCACTGAATTATGGAAATCACAGTCTGTATTTCCTGGGCCTTCCTTGTCAACTTCTTGAGACTCCAGGCTTCTAGGTGCTTCTCTCTTAGGTCTGTATTGATGATGTACAGGTGATGTTTTATGGAAACTCATTAAGCTGCCTTTGAGCCTATAATAGGAAAGCGTCCCCAACACAAGGTCAGAGAAGTGACTAATTATAGCTACCACCAAGAATCAAAATGTAAAAGCAGTTATGGAATAGCACTATTCGTTCGTTTAATCCAGCAAAGAATAACTGCAAAACATTATCGAAACTCTTTAAGGGGTCACAAAACATAGTTCTTAAAAATTTGTTGGTTAGTGGCTTTAAAATATGAAATATCTCCCCTCTAGACTACATGGGTCCCTCAGTAATCCTGTCTAGTAGCCAATTACTCTGGGGACTCAAATAAAACAAAGCTGCCTAAATGAAGACATGCTAAATCCAAAATCCTTGCTGGATAATTTTTCAGGGTGTTTCTTCCAGAGCTTTGCCAACAAAAACGGTTCACAGTCCATCCCCAAGACTTCCTTTTCCCTTAATATCTTGCTGGAGATTTTAGGAGTCTCTCTTATCTGTGCAACTGTCAAGTGACAACACACAGAGAACAAAGACGTGCCAGGCTGAGGTGTGGCCCCGATCTTTCCGGGTGAGGGGAGGGCACTAAGGCCCACATGCCCCCCTAAACCTCCTACATTGCTCCAGTCCCACTCTGACAGGCTAAAACGTGGATACTTTTCTGTGAGGTAAAATCGGTACCTCTGAGAGGCAATGGGCTCTGCGCTTCTCTTCAGTCTTCTCAATGCCCCACCAAGAGAAAATGCCCCTTCCCCACAGATTTCATGAGCAGGATTGAGGGGAGAGACAAAGCAAGACAGACAAATTGTCACATAATGAGCACCAGGATGCTCCTCTGAACATACCAAGAAGGTGTTCATGGAATTCTGGGAAAGAGGACAGGGAAGAAAGGAGTTGGGTGGGAGGGGGAGGGAAGGAGGCATTGGTGCAAACGGCACTGAATGACAACCAATAGCCAGCTTGCGACTGTACCACCATGTTACTGCTACAATCGGAGGCAACATCGAGGCCAATAAATGGGTTAAATGTAAAAACAGCCCAAGAATAAGCCACCAACTGCTTCGCAGCAACCCCATCAACAATGCATAATCAGCAGAGTGGGCAGTGAGTCAAAATGCGTTCCTATTTAAACAGCAGTGGGAGCAGGGACTGCTGGAAAAATCGGTGGAAATTCAGTAGTCGGTTGGCTGGGACAGGCTTTTTGAGAAAAGGTGGCCACGCTCGCGGCTCCACCTGCAAGCTGTTGGCAGCAATGGTGCTTGTTAACCAGGGCTCCTGATTTCAACTGGTTTTTATATGAAAAGGCTATCGAACTATTCCCCTAAATATTTTTTTACACCAAATGAAATTCATGCTAAAGCCTCAAGGCTGCCTTGCACCAGCCTGAGGTCACCGTGGCACCCCTGAAACATGAAGAGGGTGGGAGAGGAAGACAGAAGAGGAGAGATGGCCAATAGGAATGAGTAAGAAAGAAAGAAAAGGAAGAGAGAATGTTCATAACGGAGGTTTTACCGTCAAAGCAAAATATTAATGGTAAGGAAAAAATTTGTTCCAGAAAATTCCCAAAGGATAAAAACTAGCTTATGCATCATGCCAATGAAGCAGGTGGGCAGTTCCTTCTTTGAATTAGACCAAGACGATAAAAACAGACAAAATGGTGTAAGCCTCTTATATCTTCCTCTGCTTCCCCCTATGCCAAAGGTAGGCTTTTGAAAGTTCTATGGAATTATGAAAACGCTCCAAATGAAATCAGGTGAGCTAAAGGCTTACGATCAGGGCTCTTTCCAAGAAACCCTGTGTTAAGCTTCTTTTTCAAAGAAGTCCATTCACAATCCTTAACAGTATCCGTGTTCACCCATTTGAAACTGTGATGGAACAAGGAGGCCGTCCTAGGCGCCTGACTCCCGAGAGTGAAATTTAGTGTTGCTAGTCCTGAAACCCAGCCAGCCTGTCATTTCAGGTTCCTCAAAGCCAGGCAGGTGGCATTTTATTCTTGGGCCTTTGGGCAGAGACAGGATTAGTCAAGGAGAGCATTTGCACAGCGCACAGTACCGGGAAGTCGTTAATTGCTTGTATGGACCAACGTCGCCGGGCAGAGCGAGGAGACATCTGTGCGTGAAAACGTTACACCCAGAAGGAGGGAAGAAAAACACCAAGAAAATTAAAAGGGAAAAATATAGAATAAAATGAAAGCTTCTCACAACCTGATGGATTAAAAGATACCATAATATGCTGAAAAATCGGGATTGAAATGAGTAAAAAATCTGAACGCAGGCACAGCAGTGTGTGGCTTCCCTCACCTCCCGCCCAACCTGTCACACTCCAAACGCAGCTCCAACGTCATTGTCTTTCAGCCGAAACACGTTTCAACACGTATGGAGGCTAAGGTCCACACCGCTCTGAAAAAGGCACTACCATCGAGGTCTGCGGTTCTCCAGCGAGCTTTAAGAGCAGAGGGCAAGTGGAGAAACTCGTGGACTCCGGCTTTCCCTTCAGTACGTGCGAGAAGCTTCTCACTCCTAAAATGGAAGTTCTTCAATTGACTCGATACTATGTTTTTTTTGGTGTGTGGCTGTAGGGCACTGGGGAAATTGGAAGTCTTGACCTTGGGACGATAGGATTATTTTGAGAGCGAGGCCATGCGGGAGGGAGAGGCCCAGAGAAATGCAGCGGGGAGGGAGCTAGGACTGAGGATGTACACTCTCGAGGGCACTCTCGCTAACGACATATGCAATAGTGTGAAACTGGGAGCATAAACACTGTTTATGGAAATCAGAAATTATTCTAGCAACTTCAAGACCTCCTCAGTTATTTACTTTAGAGTTATTTTAGTAACAAACTGAAGCGAACGTGGGAGGTTGCAAAATTGTTTAAATGTTTATAGGGTAATGCCTAATGTTTCTCAGAAGTTCTAGGCCTTCCAATTTACCCTTGGAATAAGCAACATTTCATCAACTATTAATAGTTGATCCAGTTACCAGATGAATGTTAGCATCTCTCTGTGCTTTCTGACTTCCTATGATGGTTTTTTAGCTGTCTCACTTTTTGTTTTGTTTTGTTTTTTTAATTTTTAGGAACAAACCTCAGAATTCCATCTGGAGAACGTTTGGCTGAATATAACTCCATGGCCTAAGTAGGGTAGGTTAAAAACACAAAAACAAGAGAAATGAACAATAATCCCCCAATGGCTCTATAAAGACTTTTTTGTAATCTTCAAAACATGTTTCAATTCCTTCATTGCTGTCCTTTAATGCAGTTATATTATTTTCCTTTATTCTTACTCATTTAAAGATCTTAGAGGTAGAAAGCTAAAAGAGAATAGAAATATGTAGGAGAAAAATCTGATCTGAAAATGAAGACTTAAGCACAGAGAAATTTAGCAAACTGGAATCGTTTCCAGAATAAAAGTAATGAAAGTGATATTATTTGACATGTGAAACTAGACATCTGAGGATCGGAAAATACTCCTCAAGAGACAATACTATATTCCCTCCAAGAACAAGACCAAGATAAAACCAATATCATGGCCATATTTCAATTCTTTAATCCTTCCTATTTGCCCCATGTAAATGAGATGGACATGAATTTCAATGAGAAATGAATTTATTTGAGACTCATCACAAAAAAACTGACTTACTCATTTTAACTTCCTAGGTTGAACCACATGAAACTTTTCTTTAAGGTCAAAAATAGTCAAATATCACCAATTTCATATGATTTAACCTAATAATTACTTCATATCATCCACTGAAGCATGCCTCCCTTCCCCACGACTTCTAAGAGTTGTTGTAATGTTCTGTTTCTTGGCCAATGTGACTGTTAATTCACTGAATTATATGCTCATGATTTGTGAACTTTTCTGTACTTATACAGCAATACAAAAGTTTTATAGCAAATGACAAAAAAATGCATCTCCCTCATTTTACATGATCACTATCTGGAATAAAACTCAAAGACTACTTACTAAGTCATCCTCAGGGACTATCTATCATAGCCCATTCTCTGAGGAGAAGTAACACAGTGGGAACCGCCCAAAACCGAAATATCACAATCTTTCCTTTGGCCCCTCTGTATGATTACAGAGTTTACAGTAAGAGGCCAGACCACCAAACACATGAATGTAGGCTTTACGAATGCTTCTGCGTTGGTCCCAACTTGGGATGGGAGTTATTTTAACTAGACATGGCCTTCACACACTACCACAAGCCAAAAGTGCTAGCCCATGTATTGTGCCCAATTCAAATCCAAGCATGAGTAGCACATGACATGATTCAAAGGTAATTCAGAACTGCCTCATCAACTATAAGATCTCCTCGACCTAAAGAAAATTCCCACATTTATCCAACAATGAGTTTGTTTGGCTGGCATGTCAATAAGAAAATGCCTTACTTCCAACCAGTTTATCAAATCATCTAATCAGTTACCCGCTAGCTTGTAGAAGAGGAAAAAGAATTTTTTAACGTAAAGGACTTGGGAAGATATAGGTGTTCCAAGAAAGTTTACGATAGTTGGGTGGGGCGTGGGGGAGAGAATTCCATCAGAGTATGAAGACGGGAACTAAAAATCATTTCTCCTACTTGACTAAATGGTTTTTCCCAAGACCGGTCCTGTCTCAAGCATCAGTTGCTGCCACTTTCAGTCACACACAAATCCAAAAACCAGACAAAGTCAGAGATGGCCAACCATCCCTGTGAAGAACGTTAGACACTATAATGCAATTGAAGTAAAGATGCCTCTAACGCTTGCTAGCAATTTTTTTTTAATAATTCAATTTTTTAAATTTAATTATAGTCAATCATCATTTCTCAATTAGTGGGGGACAACAACAAAGAATCCCTAAGGACTGAGTTTGTGGTAGCTCGGTGGTAGCCCAGTTTAAAACATCGTGTCAGTTAAAAGCCGGTTTAAGCCAGACTCTCAATCTGACAAGAAAGAGTTCTCAGAATCCTTCCTACGCTCTGCCAACATTCTCTTCATTGTCGTCACCAAAGACTTGTGACAGCTTAATAGCTACTTTAGAAATGATGAGTTCCTTAAGAACCCAGGAACATAAGGACAGGTTCAGGTGATTTTTATATAAACTGGTCCATTCAAATGCGTACTTCAATGTAGAGTTAAGAAAAGTATAAAACATTTTAGAGGTCAACTTTAAAACTTCTCAGAACTCTGAAATTCCAAATATATCAAGATCCTAAGCCTCCATAACACCCATCAATTTGTTGACAAACATCAGAATACCAAAGACATCTGAAGGTAAATTATTCTATCTAAAAGAATGGGAATCAACTTAATGAATGGGGATTACAAGGACTGGATTAAATGGGGAAAGACTATGGATTATAAGAACTCATCCTCGCCCCCACACACACACATACAATTTACAGTAGTTAAAAACCAACAGAAAGGCACAAAGCAATAGACTTTCTTTAACAAACTAATTATCTGAGGGAAAGGCTTTAGGAGATTACTAATTGAGCTGCTATGTGTGGCAGGCAGGGGAGACAAGGAACGAGAATCTAGGGAAGGGAGAAGAATCGCAGGCCGTGGCTCTGCTGCTTACCCGCTCCTTGTAGTAGAAGGAGCTGATGGAGACCTGCTCTTTCTCGCTGCGCGTGGGGCTCCCACTGTATAGACGAAGGTTCCCAGGGGCCTCTGTGCGGATCTTCATGGGCGCAATCAAGCCAGTGTGATAAGCAGACAAGGCTGAGAGAGATCTGTGGTTGAAAATGCAGAATTATCCATACTGGCGTTGGTCTTTCCATATTACTAAGTAGTGCTGTTCTTGGCACTTGATGAAACCAAGAGGAAAAGATGAATAAAATGGGGGAAAAATGGAAACTCAAAAAAAAAAAGAAACAAATAGAACTTTTAGAACTGAAAAATGCTTTGTCTGCAGAAGCAGAGAATGTTTCTATGATTATATACACAGAAAATTCAAAGGAATCTACAAACTGCTAAAACTAATAAGGGAATTTAGATACATCGATTTACAAAAATCTACTGTATTTCTATACATTATAAACAAACATTTGGTAAATAAACATTTTAAAATTTTCATTTAGAATAGCATTAAAACACATCGAGTACCTAGAAACAAATTTAATTTAAAAAAATATATGCATTAAAAATACAAACTATCACTGAAAGAAATTAAAGAGCCAAAATAACAGAGAACTATATCATGTTAGTGGAGTCAAAGATTCCATATTGTTAAGATACCAATTTTCTGCAAATTGATCTACAGAGTCAACACAATTCCAATCAAAATATGAGCTTTATTATAGAAACCAATAAGTTGATTTCATATTTTACAGAAATGCAAAGGACCTAGTTAGCCAACACAAACCTGAATAAGAATAAAATTGGAGGACTTAGACTACCAGATTGGAAGACTTACTATATAAAGCTACATTAAGAGTGTAGCATTGGCATAAGGAGGGACCAATACATCAAAGGCAAAAATAGAGTCTAGAAATAGATCCACAAACATATGCTCAATTGATTTTCAACAAAGATATCAATGCAAATTCAATGAGAAAAAGAAAATCTTTTCCATAAATGGTGCTGGAACAACTATATATCTCTACTGAAAAAAATAAACTTTGATCCCCTACCTCACATGATATGCAATAATTAATTTGAGATTGATTATAGACCTTAATTAAGGAATTTAAAAAAGAAAACACGGAATATTTTCATGACCTGGAGCAGCCAAAGAAAGCACTAAGCATAAAATACAAAAAGTGGGAAACTGGACTGCATCAAAATTTAAAACTGCTGTTTATCAAAAGATCACTAAAAAGGGAGAAAGAAAAGCCACAGATTAGAAGAAAATCAATACATACATCTAGCAAAGGATGTGCAATCAGAATAAAAAACTGCTACAAATAAATAATAAGAAACACAGTCCAAAAAAAAAAAAAATGGGCAAAATACTTGAACAGGTACATCACAAAAGAAAATACCCAAACAGTCAGTTAGCACACAAAACTGGCTCAATATCATTAGTCATCATATGGAAGTGCAAATTAAAGCCACAATGAGATAATATTACACACCCACCAAAATGGCTCAAGTCGAAAAGCTTGAACATTACTTTTTAGAGAAGATGTAGAGAAACCAAAATTCTGAAACACTGCTGGTAAAGAGTGTAAAATGACACAATCACTGGGGAGAGACTTTTTGGCAATTCTAATAAAATTAAACTTATACCTATCCTATGACCCAGGGATTCGATTCCTTGGGTAGAGAAATTAATACACTTGTACATGTAGATCTACATATAATAGCCCCAAGCTGAAAATTATCCAAATGTCCACTGATAGGAGTATGAATAAAAAAACTATTATTTTCATACAGTAGAACTATTGATACATGCAATGATGTAAATCGATTTCAAAAAACATTAAATTTAGTAAATATGCCAGACATAAAATACTACATACTGCATGATTCTATTTAGATGAAGTTCAATGATGGAAGTCAGAGGGCTGGTTTCCTCTGGGTAAAGGGACCAGGGAACTTTTGGGGTGAGGCCAATGCCCTCTGTATCTTAATCTGGGTGCTGATCATCAAGATATACATTTCACACTTGTGTGTTATAAATTATACCTCAAAAAAATACTGTTATTCTATAGGAACATTTTTCCCTCTGATCTGAAGTCCAGATATATTCATACTTCCCTTTGAGAGTAGGTGATTGTTTTCTATTCCAACCTTTTCAAATAAGGGACCTGGTATAATATCAGGTCTCTGGCACTTAATTCCCAATTCTTGTGAGGCCAAGGTCTCATCTGCCTGGGTTACTGCTGAGACTGGCAAACCCCCAGGACGACAGTAGTGCCTGCTCACGTACTTGGTTCAATTTCTTTCCTTCCCGTTAGCTCAGCTATTCGTTCATAAGTATACAAATTCTATTACAACGATATATACAGTGTGTGTAGGAGGGTTTCCAAGTTATCTTAGTCACTATACTGAAGAACCAGAAGTCTGTGGTATGTAACTAATGGTTAAATTAAAAACAAAACAAAACAAAACACAATTTGGGAGAGGTTGTATGTATGTGGGGGCTGGGGAATACGAGAACTCTATACAACCCACTCAGTTCTGTTATGAACCTAAAATTGCTATAAAAGATAAAGTTTATTAAGAAAAAAATTTTACAGTATGATTGAGCAATTCCACTCCTAGGTATATACACAAGAAAAATGAAAATATATGTCCACACAAAACACGTGTACACAAATGTTCATAGCAGCATTATTCATAATAGCCGAAAAGTGGAAATAACCCAAATGTCCATTGACTGACTGATGAATAAATAAAATGGTGTGTGTGTGTGTGTGTGTGTGTGTGAGAGAGAGAGAGAGAGAGAGAGAGAGAGAGAGAGAGAGAGAGAGAGAGAGAGAGAGAGAGAGAGAGAGAGAGAGAGAGAGAGAGAGAGAGAGAGAGAGAGAGAGAGAACAGTATTTGGCAATAAGAAATAAAGTGCCAATACATGCTACAATATGAGCCAAAAAACATTACACCAAGTGAAAGAAGCCAGTCACAAAGGACCACATACCATATGATTCCATTTATATGAAGTGTACAGAATAGGCAAATTTATAGACAGAAAGTAGCTTAGCGTTTTCCCAGGGCCGAAGGAATAGGGAACTTGGGGGAGAGGGGCGACGGCTCAGCAATATAAGGTTTCTCTTTGGGGCAATGACAGTGTTCTAGAATTGACCGTATCGATAACTGCACATATCTGTGAATATACTAAAAGCCACTGAATTTACACTCTTTAAATGAGTCAACTGTATACCAATGGGAATTAAATCTCAATAGAACTGTTAATAAAAACATAATAAAAAACTGGTAGTAAGAGGAAACACAGAGCCGGGCAGCGTTCTAAATGCTTTTCAGAGACAAACGCATTTAATCTTCATGCAGCTCAAGGAGGTAGAGAACCTTAGCATCCCCGAGTTACTACTGAGGAAACTAAAGCACAGTCCTAAGGTCAGACGACAGCAGGGCCGAGATCTGGACACAGTGGTCTGGCTCTGAAGCCCATATTCCCATTTGCTACACTAGACAGACTCTTGAAAAACAAACAACAAAAAAAACAGAAAAACAATGAAGTCTAAGAGGAAAACACATTAAATTGTAAACAGTGGCTCTTCACGAGACATGGAAAGGAAGAACTTTCATATTTTAATTTAGAACTTCTTTAGTGTTTGAGTTTTTTCGACATACTACTTATGTTCATTTTAAAAATTTAAACATATTGTAGTAATGTTACAAGTGGCATATTAGTGTTATGGGATGACAGATGATCTCTTATTATTTACCTAGTTTTATTTAATGTTCAAATAACACTTCGGCAATAGGGGAAGAGAACAGTAAAAAGGAATTTGCCTTGTTTTGACAACAGATTGTATCAAGCTACTCCTTCTAGTGGGTTGGTAGTAACTTGACAGTAGAAATCTCGCCTCGTTACAATTTAATTAACCTGATCTTTCTTGAATAAATCTTTAAGCAGAGGTTTACTGAAGGACTAAAACAAATTGTCCAGAGTCTGGACTGAGTTTTCAGTGGTCATTCCCAGATATCTGCCCACTTCTGGCCCATGAATGCGGCTTAAGCCTGAATCTCCCAGACTCACCTTGGCGTAGGTTCTGTCGGAGACACTGCGCGATGCATCGTCATAGGCCTTGTGAAATACACCAGATACCCTGACAAAGGAGACATCATATGTACACATCCAGGTCAATGAGCTGGACGTGGGAAATCAATCCTAAGGCAGCACTGTCAATCTTTTGTCTATTTCAATATACCTGAAGGATACAACACGCTTTCATGAGGTGCAAAGGCTCACGATTTCAGCTGCACTTAACAAGGACAAACATCAGAATCTCCAGGATCCAGGAGATACTGGATATATGTGGTTTAGAAAAAGTCTTCACAGGTACTTTATATTTCCCAGCTAGGGTAGAGAAATTGGGGCTCTGAGTAACTCAAAACCACGCTCATCAAGACCGCTATTCCCGTGAACATTCTTAGAATTACGTCCACAGACACCAATTCGGCATCATACCATACAACACTACAGCATAAGTTCTTCGCAGTTCTCAAGAAATAAAAAAGGAAAACTGTCTGATGGAGATTTTCATATAGACTTTGTGACACTCTTAAGCTGATCTCTCTCAAAATCTAGAATCAGAGACCCAAAAAGAGACCAACCTGCTCCACAGAACCTGGCCCCCGAGGTCCTAGGAAAAGGAATATTGGCATCCTGGTAGGACCCGTAGGCAGTGGTTACCCGGGCAAACGTGGGTAAGGGCGGTGTAACAGAGTTTGGGAGTGCAAAGGGGTTGCTGGACGTGCTGTCTTCTTGGTTCTGAAATTTAAAAACCAAACAGACTGAAAACCACAACCTATCTTAAAGCTCAACTACAAAATAAAGACACATTATAACAAAATCAGGGTGCCCAGGAGTTTAGGGAGGAAGAAAGGAAAAAAAAAAAAATCAAAGCATGGCTTAGTACAAGAATCTCACCACAAAAGACTCAAGGCAGGAGACCAGCTGGCGCAGGCAGGGCTCCAGGCAACTCTGGTTGCGTTTCACTTTTTGCAGAGAAGTGTCTTTCAGGATCTGGAAAAGGCACAAAATACAGTCAAGAATGGCGACCTTCTTCCTCCTGATTTGCTGATTCAGGAACAGGTGAAGATGAAGACTGGAGCACGGCTGGGCCTGAGACTTTCAACATGACATCCTACTTCCCACCTCCTCTAGGGGCTCAGAGAGAAGGTTCATTTCTGAGCCCACTTTAGGACACCTTTTCCTTAGCCAGGGCAGGCACACACACTGGGTTTGAGAGGGCACGTTTCTAGTAATGGAATGACTATTCTTTATTTACAGTGAATTCTACTCCTTTCCTCACTCCTACCCCCACCCCACCCCCAGGAGAAATCTCAGTACCTCAGAAGTAACACCTACTGGGCTGAACTGGAAATCGCTCACATACAAGCCAGGGGCAACAGATTTCACTTTAGTAAAAGTTATAATGTATCCCTTTTTTGGTTCTTTAAAAAAGTAAATCCCAACATTTTAAGGTACATGTTGCAGACATAAACTGACATACACATACTGAAGATTAGGCATGTAAACTGGGTCTGTGCTGTCTAACACGGAAGCCATTACCCATATGCAGATACTGAGCAAGTGAGGTGCGGTAGTCTGAACTGAGATGTGTTCTAAGCGTACAATTCATACTGAATGTTGAAGACTCAGTACAAAACTAAAAGAATATAAACTACCTCAATAACTTTAATTTTCATATCGATTACATGTTGACATAATACTTTGGACGTACTAGATTTAAAAAATGTTGTTGAAATAAATTTACCTGCTACTTTTAATTTTTTTTTTCAGTGTGGCTACTGGAAATTTAAAAATTCATGTGGCCTGCATTATATTTCTATTGGACAGCACTGAATTGGACCTTTAAAGCTATTTTCCTGTCCTATAATTTTTATAACAGTAGAAGAATCTTTTTTGTATGGTCAAATGAGATAATGAAATATTCAACTTCCAAATACCACAAAATCTGAGTAATTAGCATTTCAGAGAGCCTTATGACACTTGAAAAATTTCTTGGTGACAGATCATAGTCCGAGATGAATCAAGTATGAAAGGAGGCAAAGGTGAACAGCACTCAGGTTGACTTGGTTTCATCAAGACATTGCCATTACTTCACACGTGACACTGCTCGCACTGGAAAAAGCTTATCATACTTGGCTTTTTCATGGGGATTCTGGCTGATTAGTTCTGCGTGAACTGACAAATCGAGTTTCTGAATCTGTAGGGGCGAAGACCAAATGCCAGGATGCACCACCTGCACTCAGGCACCGCCACCCTTTCCCACACTCACCTGTGCAGCCAGTCAGCCGCACTCTAGAAAGGCATCGTAAATGACCTTACATACTTTTTTTTCTAAAAGTACCTTTTAGCTTCAGAATGTATCTTGCCTATTGTTTCCAGATAAATGAAATTATATTGCAGGGTTCTTAACCTGGGATTAATACACAACTTTAAAGAGATCTGTGAGCAGATCATTATAGAACTGCATATTATTCATAAGCAATATTTCTGAAATTATATGCAACGCTGTACAAATTTTTCTGGAAAGGGTCCATAGTTTTCATTAGACTTTCAAAGAGGGTCCACAAATGAAAAAGGGCAAGAACCACTGCTATAATGTTTTCTACACAAAATGAACAGCAAGTGTTAACACTGCAGTGTATAAAGACAGAGACTTCTGAATCTTATCAGAGTTTTCATTCAACTCTCCTATGCAGCTCAGACACTCAAGTGCATGAGCAGAGCTCTCCTCTTAGAACATCAAGGAGAATGTGTGAACGCAGATCCCCACCTTTAGCAGCTTAGCTTTCATTGTGGATGTGATGGTTGTGGGGTTGATAAACTGGAAGGAAGGGGCGGCGTTGTTTGGGTACTGCGCAGGGAACTTCACCAGCATCTTGACGCGATGGTTGCTACAGTGCACGGACACTGTGCAGCTCCGATCCGCTGCATCCATCTGCAAAGGACACACTGTCAGCTGCTCTGGAGACAAACCACAGAGAACCTTTAGATACACATGGACTACTGAATGCTCTCAGTTCCTGGAATCTCCAAAGATGAAGGGCAAATCTCCAAAGATAAATGAATTTAGAAGATTTGGATAACTCACTTAAAACAGATTTTTAATTTTAGCACTGATTTAATAAGTTCAAAGTATTTTGACTTAAAAAAAGCTTCATCCAAAAACAGGTAGACTGAAACTTGTTTTATTTATTTTGACATGAAAAAATAAAGCAGGAAAAAAGTTAAATATCTGACAAGTTAACAAGTTCTCCTAGGAAAATTCAGAGACACAAAATAGATTAGTGGGTTTCCAGAGGCTGGGAAGAGAGGGAAATGGGGAGTGATGGTAATGGATACAGGGTTTCTCTTGGGATGATGAAAAGATTCTGGACGTAGACAGTGGTGATGGGGTGATGGATGCACAACTTTGTGAATATACTAATAACCACTAAATTGTACACTTTAAAAAAGTAAATTGTGGTATGTGAATTATATCTCAACAATTTTTAGAAAGCATTCTTAGAAACAGAATCAAGATCTCCTTCTTAAACTAGATCACCGGTATCCACAGTTTTCAATGGGGACAAAGGAGTATAACCTGAGTTGATATACCAATTAATCAAAGATCTTTTATCTCTTTTGATTTCTTGTGCTGCCAACTAGAGAAGACTCCTGGAGTACAGTGAAAAGAAGCACACGCAGGGAATCTGGAGACTAGGATTCAAATATTATCTCTTCCCCCAAAAGGCTACTGACCTCAGATGTCACTTTGCCTCTTAAGTGTCTACGTTTCCTCATCCATAAAGTGGGGATAAAAGCACTTACTATAGTGCTATTTTAAAGGCCAAATGAGATAATTGTGTTAGTGCATATATCCGTGCCTCCCATTCACTGCATCTGGGCAAAAGAAAAACTAATCAAGTTTTTAAACTCCTTTATAGAGAGAGACTCAATTCTCTGAAGCAAAGAATTTCCATACCTGCCCAAAGGAAAGGAGTAAATCTCTATGTGTGAAGTGAACAAGGAGACTTGGTCATCTTATTACACTGAATCTAAATCACCAAGGACATGACCAGCTTTAAGGGAAGATCATACAGCAAAGCCCTGGAGTCTGGAGGTTTAGCTTCCAAACTCAGCTCTGCCATTAACTTCACCATTAACTTCACCAGTTAACTTGCCAAATCAGTTAAGCCTTCAAGGACCCAAGTATCTTTACGTACAGAAAAACAAGATGTTGGAGCATCTAAGATTTAAGACACATGAGCATTGGTTTAACCCTCAGTTCATCTTATGAGAAGGTAATATGGTAAGGAAAAAAAATCTGGATTTGTAAAGTATTTATTTCTTTAGAAAAACTAGGAAATAAAAAAGCAAGCAGAGAGACTTACTTGTTAGGGCAGCAAAGATATTTGCTAACCAAAATCATAGCTGAAACAGTCCCCTCTCACCAACTGCCATCCGCAAGCATGAAAGACGGTTCATTAACCCCGAGTACCTCCACGTTGACGTTCCGGATCTGCACATTGATCAGAGAGAACTCCTGCTGCAGAGTCTGAGGCAGTCCCGGCTGATCCGACTTCTTCTCCTCCAGGAGACTGCTCGGGGGGTCTTCCTTTAAGACTAGCAGGAGAAGGATGTTCAGTTGGCAAACATTTTGAAACTGAGTCAGAGAGCAGTTGTGAGGTAGTTTCTACAACTCTGAAAAGCGTAGAGGGGCACCTCATCTAAAACACCAGTTTGATCGATTACCTTCTTCCTCCCCATGGCTTAAGGTGTGCTGGTGATCTGTGTCCTGAGTGTGAAGAATTTTCTCTGGTTCCGGCAGAAGAGAAATACTCTCGATGAACTCATCGACGCCGTCTAAGATGTCATTTGCACAAAGCTGCAACAAAGGTTAGAAGATCTAGGTCTAGAGAAGTCAGTGGAAATGATCATCATGTTTGGTTAGAATTCTGATTTAAAAATGGGAATCACAAAGGAGAGAGATGTCGGCCAAAAACTGATACAATCAAAACAGGTTTTACCCATCACCAACTCTCCCTATAGTCAGGAGAATAGAGTATTATTCTACTCTGGAAATTTTTCATCCTGTCCATAGTTTATGCAAGGCCTCAGTAAACATTATTTTAAATTCCAAGCCTTGATGGAGTTATTCAGCTAACTCCAAACCAAAACTATCATAACCTTCGAAGCATTTGGAGCAAATGTTACTTTTTGGAAAAAACAGATTTGAAAGGCAGTAAGGTGATAATAATTGACCAAAATACTCAGGATTAACTTAGTACTAAGCAATGCTGCAAATTTTGCCCAGCATTTTCTATCCACTCTGTACAGAGCGCTGTGGGGAAGTCGATACAAGTGAGACATGGTTCCAACCTCAAGAAATGTAGCCACCGAATGAGAAGACAGAACCCTGTGATGACGCAGAGCAAAGCGAGTGCCAATCAGCAGTTCATACCAGGTACCACTGTGGTTCATATAAGAAACATGCCATCTACAGGGCAAAAGCTGCAAAAGGCTTCATAGAACAAGTGTCACTGATGGATGTAGAAGGCTCTGAACATTGCAGAGTACAAGGAAAGACTTCCTAAACCATTTAAAAGAAGAGAATGAAATGAAGCCCACGGCCACTTATTCAGTATAAGTGGCCACATCCTCTTATACCAGGTCAAGAGAAAAACAGGCATTCAGAGGTTTTTCAGCCCTAAACTGCTGAAAACCAAAAGCGGCTCTTGAAAACCTCAAAGCTTCAGTGTGGCGTATGTGAGCCACTTGGCGACCGGCAAGTATGTATTTAATGTTTCTATCATGTATCTTCTAACTTCCATAAATACCAAATCTTGTCTTTTTAAAAAATTTCTAGCGCATCCAGTTACAGTTCTCCACAATAGCAATGAATACGTACCCTCTGCATCTGGGAATCCACCCGCCACATTCTCAAGGTCTGATCCCGTGACCATGTAACCAGTTGGTAGTCCTTGGACCCTAGAAATCACCAAATAAAAACCCTGGGAATTTTTTTGGCTTCAGCATCAATTTTGCTACACGTTACAATGGAGTAAGATTCATTCATTCATTCATCAATCCATTCAACAAATATTTATTGAACATCTCCTATATGCCGGGTACTGTTCTAGGCACTAGGACTATAGTACATATATGACAATCTGTCTTTAAAGATCTCATATTCCAATGGTAGAAAGAGACAAACAAATATGTAATAAAATATTCAGTAGTGACAGTGTTATAAAAAATAACACAGGCTTGGAGGACAGAGACTGATAGGAGAGCTATTTTTAGACAGGACTCCCTGAGGAAGTCACATTTGAGCACAAACTTAAATGAAGTGAAATAATAACTGGCAAATTAGCAGGTGAAGAGTGATGCTGGGGTTTAATGGCACATTAAACTTTCACCTCCACAAATGTTCTTCTTTTACATGCTCCAGAGGAGCTGGGGATGAATACAATTTTTGTAAAATGAACTGTTTTAAATGCATCATGACATCTTACTGTTGAAAAGAATTTTTTGGTAAAGAAATGCATGCATCTCTTTATAAAATGAATAATCAATATTCAATGTTCTGAGCTGAATGAATTATATTTTCACATGTTAGGTCTGGTCGCAGAGCAATTATTCTGGAAAGGTTCAGAATGCTTTATGAAAGAGCTTTATGAAAGATCAGGACATTTCTGGGTAATTATTTAGTACCTAAAATCTCCTTCATGGCCATCTTCAGAGAGCAAAGAATTTAAAAGTAATTTCATCCAATTCCCTTGTTTTACAGATGGAGAAACTGAATCAACAGAGGACACGGTCTGTCGAAGCTAATAAGAGTGACTGAGAGACGAAAGTTCCTTCTCTGTGTCACTGCCTTCAATCAGTGTTTTAATATATCCCTGTGCACACCAAATAAGATAAAAGCTATACGGAACTACTGCCTGTTATGAGTGCCTGTTATAAGTTCCATACCTAATAAGGCAGAAGCTGTTATGTGACTCATGTTCATGTCAACAATTTTCTGACTCCCCATCTGGCCTCTTTTCACGTCCTTGACTTTGAAGAAAAGTGATGCCTAATTCCTTTCTAAATCCAACTCCTCTACCTGTGCCTTCAGCCCAGTCTCTCTCATTTTCAAACGGCCTTTGCTTTCCTATATACTTACCTCCTTTCTTGCATATTCTCCTTGCCTTCAAATAGAAGGGGCTGCAGCCTCTGCCCATCAAACTAGTCTCCTCCCTGCCTGTGAAAGCAACCTCATTCACAAAACCAGTTCCTGCTGCCTCTGGTTGGCTACTTTGCAATCTGGCTTCGACCCTCAATCTGCTTTTGGAACACCTCTCTTCCCTTCAGCAATACCTGAAACCAACGACTGCCACTTCCCTACTGAAGCACCGTCTTCTCTTGGCTATGACATTCTGATTTTCTTCCTACCTCCAAGAGCTCCTGCATCACAGCAAAATACAAAACCAAAGCTTAAGATATTCCAATAAAAACTGACTATGAAGGCATGGCAGTAAAATTTAAAATTAAAACACAAGAATACAGGCAGGATGACTACATTGATAAAAGGTTCAAAAACAAGCACAGCTAAACTATTTTGAGCATGCATGAATGGTTAGTAAAACTAAAAAGAGAAAACCAGAAATCACTACCACAAGCGTTAGTATAGTATTTACTTCTGGGGAAGGAGAGGGGATTGTTATCACGAAGCTTCTGGGATTCTAGCACTGTTCTCTTTCTTGACCTTGGCCGTACTTTGCACACAGATTTTCACTTTATAATAATTTGTTAAACTGTATGTATTTTGTGCAATTTTCTAAATAGATGATATATTTCAAAATAAAAAAAAATTTTTTTAATCTATAACTTGTACTCAAAATTCTGCTACTGGCTAGATAGTCCCAATTTATGCAATTCACCTTACCAGCTTAAAGATGACATAGATAACTAAAAATGAGTTGTTAAAAACTTTTTATTTCAATCCAAAACTACAGGCCAACCTCTCCCTACCAGACTCTGGGGAAACTACATCATCTGTTCACTATGGCAAAATGCAAGAGAACAAGCTGAAAGCCGAAGTCATGCATGCGAACTGATGGGATAAAGATCAAGCAGCCTCATGTGCCTAGAAGCAGGAGAGATTACAGAAATAAAAGATGGGAAAATTAAGAGGATGATCAAAAGAGTCCTTTGAAAAACAACCCTGAAGAGGTTTATGAGGGTCACAAAAAAGCTGGGGTAAGATCTGCTCTAATCCCAGGTCAACTAGAGACCTTTCCTGGGCTCTGGACAAGTCACACCACTCCACTGCCTTTCCTTCTATGATATGCAAAGAACGAGAAATACACTCCTGTTCAGTAGAACATTTAGTGAGCACGGCAATGATATCTCAAGGAAAGAGAGGCTGCACGGGGAGTTGGTGGAGAAACTGAGGCCGAGGGTTTCCTGATTCCCACATCAGTGAGGGCTGGCTGATCGAGCTGCGATAATAAACAACCCTAAATCTCCACTGCTTAAAGCAAGGGTTTCCTGGCCTTCCCTCATCTCCAGCTCATCCTCACTCCTGACCAGAACAGCTCTATCTGCAGTTTCATCAGTTGCCATGGCAGAGGCAGTGAGAGCGTAGAAGCACACTGGCTGTTAATTCTTCAAACCAGAAGAGACTGCATCACTTCTGTTCAAGTTTCATGATCAAAGCAAGTCATCTGGCCAAACCTATCTTCAAGGGGATGGAAGGTATGTATTTGTGAAGTGAACAGGGACTATGTGGTGGTCAGTACTAGTGATGACCTAGGCTCTCCCTCATCAACAGAATGGCAAGGGACAACTGCTGGAGGCTTCTGAGGGTAGTGACCCCAGAGTTTTGCCACCCTAAAAATGATCCAATATCAATCTAGTCCATCAATTTCATACAGACTTGTTCCACATGACCCCAGAGTTTTGCCACCCTAAAAATGATCCAACATCAAGTCCATCAATTTCGTACAGACCTGTTCCACGCGGGAAAGAGACCCCACTGAACATAAGAGAAGAGGAGGAAACTTGGAAGAAGAACTGCAGCCCGCACACCCCTTACCCATCTGCAATCACAGGTGGTGGTGCCCCGGACTCTCTCGTCCCTAAAGCCCAGCCTTGGTGCAGTGCGCCCTCCTCCCTGGATCCCAGCCAACCCCGGAGTCACCGCTGAACAGGGCTCAGAAGAGATCGGGCAGCGGCCTTCTCTCCCACTCACCTTCCTTCTGTTTCCTCCACTGGAACTCCAACACCACATCGTCGTGGCCCACAAAGGTGTGGACTGGGGTGTTCAAGTCAAAGACGTTCCACAGGAGAAGACTATTCTCCCTCCGAAGTTGAGGAACCATCACAGTCACTAATCCATTGCTGAAAGGCTACAGCAATAAAGGGAAAAGCACGTCATTATTCCAGGGAAATTTAGCTGAGTCTTCAGTTACCAAAGTTGAAATTCTTTTTTAACTAAAATAAATTGGACAATAGAAGGTTCCAACCTATTTGGGGAAAATTTTTCCATATACCATAAGTTGACTATCATATCTACTTTTCTTTTAGTTTTTTTACTTTGTCTTTGCTTCTAGAAGGGACTACCATAAGTAAAAAAAATAAAGATGAGCCTAATACTTGGAGAACTTTTAAAATATTCTAAAATAAGCAAATGGCTCTGACTGTCGCACACTGGAACATACTGTTTCACATCCTAGCTCCTCTCCCTGAGCTCCCTCTAAGAGTTACTGAGTGCTTTCCCAGAGTGAGCATACAAGACACAGTGGGGACAAGCCCAGAGCAGCAAGCATAATTCCGGCCACGTGGAAATGCACCAGGGGCACACCATCTACACGAAGCATAACCTTCCCATTGCCCCAAATACTACAGCCATTCAAAGGAAAACCTTCCAGCCTGAGGTCTGACAGGTTTTACTTATCAACACCCAATCTGCTAGGTAGCTAAGGGGCCCGTTTGATTGATAATTAGACACCGTTAGGAAATAAACTACCGTGTTACCTAAGAGCACATTTATCTCCACCTCCCCTCCTGGCAGCACCCCTAGACGTCTTCGCTTATTTTTTTAAAGCAAATATATTAATCCAGAGAAGTATTTAAATTCATAAGAACAATATCTGATTTCTTGACAAGTTTTCCCCGATGCAAAAGCCACTTAATACCCAAATTATCCTCCATGCTCTACAATGCCCCAGGGTGACAGCCTAATATATAAAGGTAGCTTTATACACTCCCGTGCTCCCTTTCAAACTGATGTTAAAAGAATTATATTACCTCTGATCAGCAGCCATCAATGCGGCGATGAAAAATTTGTTGGAAGGTTGATAACAGCCTGCCCCCTATATTCGTAGCATGGTTTATAAAGCATTTTCATATACAATTTTTCAAAAGGAAGGCACATTGTGCATGTTTCTAAATGCCACTGAGTTAAAATTCATACTTTAAAATGGTAAACTTTATCACAATGAAAAAGGAAGGCATGGTAAAAATTATTGTTCAGATTCCACAGAGGAGAAAATCACTGCTCAAAAACATCAAGTGGCTTGCCCAAGGGCACACAAATATTAAATAACTCATTGCAGCATTATTCACAAAAGCCAAAATAGGAAAACAACCTAAGTGGCTATCAACAGATAAATGGATAAAGATTTGCTATATGCGATGGAATATTATTCAGCCATGAGAAAGAAGGAAATCCCATCATTTAGCACAACATGATGGACCTTGAGGGCATTATGCTAAGTGAAATAAATCAGAGAAAGACAAATACTGTATGATATCGCTTACATGTGGAATCTAAAAAAGCTGAACTCACAGAAACAGAGAGCAGGATGGCGGTTACCAGGGGCTGAGGGGTGGGGATATGGGGGAGCTGTCATTCAGAGTTCAAACTTCCAGTCATTAGATAAATAAGTTCTGGGAAACTAATGTACAGCATAGTGAGTATAGTTAATAATAATGTATTATATACTTAAAAGCTGCTAAGAGATTAGATCTTAAATGTTCTCATCACAAGAAATAAATGGTCATTAAGTGAGGCGACAGAGGTGTTAGCTAATGCTATGGGTAGTCATCGGTTTGCGACGTATAAGTGTATCAAATCACCATGCTGTATACCTTGAACTTACACAATGTTATATGTCAATGATATCTCAATAAAGCTAGGGAAAAAATTAAAAGGCATTATTGGGCCTAAAACCCAGGTCTTCTGAATCCAAAGCCAGAGTTCTTTCCAACACAATCCACTGACCACGAGCCTCTCAATCCTCTGCTCCCAGCTCATCCTCTTCCCCCGCCATCAGTGACCGCGTTCACACTGCCTAGCTTCCCAGTCTGGCTGTGATTAGCAATTCTAGTACAGATGCTTATCAACATTCCAAGGGCAAATTTTTAAATGGATAACACCTTTTATGCCATCACAACCATCCCTTTCCCACCCATAGATCAAGACAGAAAGAGAAAACTGCCTCGCAAAGAAAACAGCCTTTGGTCTCTTGTGTTTGGAACACGGAGATGGAAGAAGGTTCCTACCACCAGACAGGTGTCACACTCACAGTGTATCTGGCCTTCCAGACAGGCACCTGGCAAGGGAGAATATTGAGGTATTTCCGAGGCTGGCGGTAATCCCAGAACTGGAACAAAGCAAGCAGGATGTCTTGTGAAATAAATGGCATTAAAAAAAAACTCAACTATTGTAATAAGCACAGCCTTCAAATCATTGCTTTCTGTCCTCTAAAGATACATCTCAATAGTGCATTTCAGTCAGCCCCCACAGCCATGAGCCTGTGACACAGACACAAAAAACACCTCCCTTTCACATTTATAAACATTACAGGAGAATTTTCGGATTTCATGAAGACCACCCCTCAGGGCAGACCACTACCAGCTTACCGATGAAACAATCTTCGCAGTGGAAAGGTGAGAGTGACATTGTTTTACCCTATATCACTTTTATACCATGTAGGGTAATTTAATAACGATAACTGAAATGTGCTGACTACTTACTGCATTTCAGACAGATGTTTAGAGTTTAAGATTATCAGCCCATTTAATCTTTACAACAACCATATAATGGGTGTCATTAATCTCTTTTGCAAATGAAGAAGCTACATTACTAAACCATGTAACTTGCCCAAGGTCACACAGGAAAAAGGTGGCTGTACGCCTGTGTACCACCCACTCATGTACACACTCATTCATCCTGCCAGCATGGAAGGTGTGGCACTTGCCATGATAATTAACAAAATCAATCCTTTTAAAAAAAAAAAAAAACAAGTTTTTTAGATTTAAATATACTTATCAATTAGTGACAATTATAACATATAACTGATGGGATAAATTAACTAGAGGACTCTAGGGATCTGACAAAGTCCTGTTTGTAACACATTCTTATTCTCAAGGCAACAGTGGTAGAACATTATGAAATGATTACATGTTATTCATAAATAGGGGAATTCACTCAGTTTCACTGATAAGAATTGGTTAATATAATAAATTAATCAGAGCCATGCCGTCCTCCCATCCACAGGTGATTTCGGCTTTTCTCTCACTGCTGACGAAGGGTCCGTGCTACGAGCTACAGATCAAAAAGTAAGTTTTCTGAGGAAACACCAGAAAGGCCTCAATCAAGAAAGAAAGAACCAGGGTCTTAAACAGCCTCATGGATACAGGATTCTCAATAAGGCTAACCTTGACCCATGGGCAGACACACATCTGTCAGGATGTACCGAAGGGATCCTGTCTGGATTTTCAGGACTCTTAGTATAGAAGAAGGCAATTTTGTAAAATAGACTGCTTAAACCAACATCAGGAAAACAACAATTATCAAAAATGATCTGAACTAATTTCATTGTGGTTAATGTTCTATTTTTAATGGCCATGAAGGAAAATCCTTTTATTTCTTCTTAATCTAGCTCTAACCTCAATTCAACAGTTTTACAGTTTAACAATTTATAAACTGAAGTGAAACACTCATTCGATGATATCTTGTTCCAGCTGACCCCACAGAATTCAGAAAATAAAAATACAATGAAAATTATTACTACAAATTATAAGCTAATACATTGTCAGGTAAACATAAGAAAATGATTACGTAGGGGGGAAATGACATATTCATCCTTATCTACAAATTGCTAAAAACAATGGTTGAATATTATGCAGAGTGCCTCTAAATTACTTTTTACGATTGTTGTATACATTCAATAAAAACTGTCTTCCTTCCTACAATGTAGTAAAATAAATAAAATACCATGCCAAAAATTTCATTTAATTTATAAGCTAACTAGTAAGGAACAAGGACTGCGTTTCATCCATGGAACTGGCCTGTTACCTGCTTTATTATCTATGGAATCCCAGCCTGACAGGTAGTAAAGATGTCACTGAACACTGACGAACCTAAGGACCTCAAAGAAAAAGGCTGGTTCATGAAATTGGGAGACAAACTGATCGGGGTATGGGGACAAAAATCCCCAAATCCAAAACAAACCAACTAACCGAAACAAAACAAAACAAAACAAAACAAAAAACCACTTCTGGCACATAAAAGTAAATTACAACCCTAAGGGATTTACAAACCTCAAGACAGAAGTTAACTTTTTAAGACTTAGTGTATGATTCTAGTTTTGTTAACCATACCAAAAAAAGGCATTGTACACGCCTATATAAACAAAACAAGGCATTAAATTAGTAATGGCTAAGCAAACTTCTGTGGTCCTTCCATGTGGAAGGACCTGACCACAAGGAAGAACTGGAGTGTGAAGCTGACTCTGTGCCCTGCATCCTTCTGAACAAGGGTGCACATCACACCCCAGTCAGAAAGGAAAACAATAAGAAACACTGCACTCTGATGAAGACCAAAAATAACAGGGTCACCGAAAGACATAAAACCGTGAGCATTTCCTATAAGTTAGAGAATCTCTAATAAAACAACTCTATCCCCGACTTTCGCAATGCCAATGTCTGAATGTCATAATTTTGCAGATATAATCACGTGAGAAAACTGCTGTGTTTCACTCCGGACAGACTAATCGTAAACTTGGGAACCTGAACAATTCTGTGGGTGTTCCTCCTTTACTTTACATCTGTAGTGTTTTTTGATGAGCCAGTCTTTCTGATATCTGACTTCCCGGCAACTTATTTGCAAGTAAATCCCTTTTCCTTTCTAAATGCTTTTGTCTCTGACTTCCTTCCACAAAGGGAAAGAAGAAAACTCTCTGAACAAAGTCCAGGAGCCATATCAGATATTTTACATAACCAGGTTTACTTGCCCAGCTCCCCAAGAAGCATATGCATCCCTGACATGCACACACTATGCTAATATGCTGTAGCTTTCCTTCCGAAGAAAGTGCTATCGCGCAATCTGATGCCTCCCAACACAGCTCCCCCAAATGTACCAGTGGGAACCACTCACCTTGACAGAGTTGTCTTGGCTGGAGGTAGCAAGAATGTGCTCGCTCTCTGGGTGCCAGTCCAGGCCATGGATTTTGGAAAGGTGGGCTGCTAGATATTCCACTGCTATACTGGGTTTCTGCAAAGGATCAGCACTGAGCGTTGTCAATTTAGAAAGAATTTATTGAGTGTCTACCGCATAACAGTTTGCTGAGTACTGAGTGGGGATATAAGAATACTACTGGATACCACCTCTATCCATAAGAAACTCCACTTTGTTTTGTTTAAAACAAGCAAAACGACAACAAAAAGACTAATCTAGCTCTCCAAGCATGCTCTGTATATGGGCCAGTGAGCATCATCTCCTTCTGCTCCAGCCCATACATGGCTTTAACGTAGGATACTTTTCCTTTTTAGTAGCATGGTCCGCGACTCCTGCTCCCCTTCCTCACAATCACCTAAGAGGGGCTGTGACATCCAAACAGGTCCAACCTCAATCCTGAGGCTAAACTCACCAATCTTAAAGTGACCAAGGCCCCAAAAAGAGAATGAACACACATCGCAAAATAATACATGATTAATAAGCATATTTAAAACAAACTGAGAAAACCTAGAAACATACATTAAAACGAGACCTTTTTTAACTATCAAATTAGAAGATATATGTAAATAATACTCAATGAGGCTTCATTTGTAACTGCTGGTGTACATATAAAGTAGTACAACCTTTTGGGGAAAAATCTGACAAATTTATCAAGAGATTTAAAGTTTTCCTTTCTTAAAGGAATATTCCAAATTCAAAAAAAGCTTTAGATACAAAAGATGTTCATCCTAGTGTTATCTGGAACACAAGAAAACCAGAAATGACACAAATAGGAAGTGGAGAGTAATTAAATTTTAAAATCAATTACAGTATAACTATCTGATACAATATGATATAGCCATTAAAAGTTATACTTACAGGTTATAACATGGGGAAAATGCATATGTTGTAATGTTAAATGAAAAAAGTATATACATAACTATGTACTTAATGTGATAAACCATATTTTTAAAAAAGCATAACACCAAAATGTTAGCATTTGTCTCTGGGTAATAGGACGATGAATGATTTTTACTTTTTCTTTCATATTTTCTACAAAGAGCATCTATTACTCCTATAATTAGCATTAGTCTCTGAGGTTAAGAGTACAGTCTCCACAACCAGCTTCCCTGAATTCAAATCCCACAACACACTGTCCACAGTATACTCATCTGCAGAACAGGGATAAAAATAGTACCTACTTAAAGGCTAGTTATAAAGAGTAATGAATCAATACATATAAAGTTCTCAGAACAATGCCTGACATAATAAGTGCTCAGTAAACATTAGTATTATTAGTCAGTGTGAGTTGAAATGAAATCCAACATTATCACTCATACTGTACTTTTTAAAGTCTCTGATGCTTGCTGCCAGTGCTGGTATGACAGTAGAAAGTGCCAGAGTAGTAAAAATATGACCAACAAGTTTTACAATCCATCTGAGCAGAAGTCCTAAGTATTGATAGCCAAAAATAAAGTTAAAACTCTTTAAACAAAACAGATAAAAGGCTTGCTGAGGGAAGTCAGGGTTGTTAGCGGACCAATGAGAGGACTAGGAAGGAAGCGTTTGGCAGTACATTTCTACAAGATCAGGAAAACAGGTATTGACAGAGTTCATGGCTAAATACCAAACTGTTTATTTGCCTATGGCTCTGAAAACAGTCCATAGCAAAGACAAATAACCAAACACTTTATTTAAACCATTCGCTATATTTAAATGCTATACTAATAACAAAAGGAATAAAACCAATCAATATAAGAAATAAAGGAGTTGGGGGAATGGCAATTACCACACTAGACTAGAAGGACAGAGACAAAAACTAACATATGGAAGATGTACCTGTCCAACCTCTACTTATAAAAGCACCTTCTCACCTAAGAGCTACCTAAGGCGGAGGGCTTCGACCAACACTTCCTCCCCAGCAGGTCCTGGCACCTAATCCAGCCAACTCCCAATCTCTGCTTCACTTCCTTCCCCTCCCTCCAACTGCTGAGACCTTACTGCCGGCTAGAAGGGGAAGAGAGCAGGGTGGCTGGCAGCAAAGCTGAGGCCTTCCAGTCTGCACCTGAGTTGCGACAGCCCCTGAACAAGTTTCAGAAAAAACCCAAGGTAGGTGCTCCCCATAGAGGCTGAGGATCTCTAGCCTCAGGTTTCACACAGCAGGAAGCAGTATTTATATCCCAGATCTTACAGAAGCCAATTACTCTCTAAGTCATTCCCTCTGGCAGTTAGCGATGGGGTAGGCCCATTCCCTGTGTCATTATTTTCACTGATGCAAACATACCAAATTTCCAACAGACTTTCCATTACAGAGCAGCCTGGGACCCTGGCACCTCTTTCATGCCTGTCAGTTACACAGGCTGCTGCAGGGAGAACACATGGTCTGCAGGCCCTCTTGGGACTGACGGCACAGCTAGGCTTCTGAGGGAGAATGTGAACGTACTGAAGACCCTCCCTCGGTGGTTTATACCAGACGTATTCTGAATGGTATACATTCTAGGACTACTTTTCACTTTGCAGTCTGGGGCAGCTGACCATACTAGATTAGTGTCCAGTCCCCCAGGCTTGACCTCCTCAATGATACGCTCACTATTATTATCATCTTTACTTTGAAGATAAAGGAACAGAGGCCTGGAGAAGTTTAGTGGCTCAACTGACACCATACTTAGGAGGTAGCAAAGCGAGACTCTAACTTCCGTCAAGCCAAGTTCACTTTCTTAACCACCAATCATAATGCCTCACTTCCCTATCTTCCTTCAATACCAGTTTGATCAGGAAGAAAATGTCATCTGGTACGATGATCTTAAAATGGCAATTTACCACGCTGCATAGGGCACCCTACACTCTTGAGGCAAGCCCGGCTACTCATAACATCCTCTTCTTACCCTCTGGGAGGGAAAGAAGGCCAGCTGGGGAGAAGGAGAGGTTACTCACCCGCTTGTCCCAAATGCGCACATCCCCGTCATGACTGGTGGCAAGGCAATTGGCATTTTTTTTATTCCATTTGACCTGTGAGGCACCCGCTGCAAAGAAAAATCAGGGGAAGAAAGCTGCTGCCTTCAGCAACTTCAGAACCAGAGGGAGAACATCCAGGGGAGCTGGATAATGAGTTCTAGTTGAATAAGCACAGAACCCTTCAAGTCTCTCTGACTGCACCAACTCCATCATTAAAGAGAAAATGAAGCCCCAAAAATAAATGAATTAAATAACACATGGGAACAGGATCAGAGTCACATAATTGAGGAAATAACTTCCCTTAGGAAAAAACCTATACATTATCTCAGAGCAGCATCCGGGGGAAATGTAGTTTCTTAGCAAGCAGAGGGTGAGCATGGCTCTGCGGGTTGGTAATTGACTCATTGCACAACCTGGCTCCTCATTCATCATCTCCGAAGACCATGCCTGCGCTCCCAACCAGGAGAGCCTCAGCTCAGCACCTGCTCCTCCCCCAACCCCGTTTTTTTGTTGTTTTTTGTTTTTTTTTTAGAGAGACAGTCTAGAAAGAACAAAGCCCACAGCTGAAGCTAGATGAATAAGCTTCAGTGTTGCCCGATTCTGCCCTCAACTTGTTATGTGCACCCCTACCCCCATCTCCCATCTCCCCATCAGCAGTTAGACATGGCCATCGGCCCTGTGCTGAGTCAGCAAAAAGGACACCCTGGCACCGTGTGAACTCAGGCCTTTCCAACTCTGCCAATACATAGAGGTTAACAATGAAAAAAGAGCAACGTAAGAGAGGAGGCGCACTGTAAGATGTCAGAAGGGGCTGAGACGTTTGGAAAACTGGACTATAACAGTAATTCTAGCTGTCTCTTAAAAATAATCGGGTTAATTAAGAACCAAACAATGGCCCACCCTCCCTCCCGCCTCTTCTTGTCCTCCGCTCAGACGACACATGACATTCTGCTTTGACGCCTCTCCCTTTTGGTGGGTGGTTATTCCTGGGGACACCATAGTAGATCCAGGGCTTTGGAGAACAATCTGACCCAGGAAGTCAAGAGAGTGTGATAGATAAAGCAAGGACTTAGGATCTAACAGGAAATAGAGTTAAGACCCAGGATTTATCCTTTCTTGGTTTTGGTGAGGATATTTGTTTGTCTGTTCTTTTTTTTTCCCTTGAGTCATTCAAGCACAAGTGGTGGAGACCCCTTAAGATGAAGGAAGGAAGCGAGCGTATTACTTAAGAGACCCAGTTTTGTTTTCGTTTTTTGGCAAGAAAACATATCAGCTAGAGAATGAGTAAGAAGAGCCTGCTCCACTTCCTCATGATGGTGCTTTGATAAGTTCCAAGAAAACACTTTTCCCAGTGGGGGAGCGTGGGGTCTATCAGACCAAGAAGCCTACCAAAGATTCACCCTGCTCTGCTAAGTCATGACGTCAGGGTCAAACAAAGGTCCCAGCCTGTAAGATTTCCAGACACAGAGAACAACACTCTGGAGCACACTCAGACATGCTCTCACTGACGCCCTACCCCGAAGGTACGAACAAGGTACTCCCAGAGAGATGGGGACCACAGATGTGGGGAGCAGCAGCATCCAAGGCTGCTCCTCTCAGGGAAGGTTACATGGGACAGCTTACAAAGGTCCACAAGCCTCTCATCTCAGTTGCCTCTTTTCTCCCAGGGCAGCCTTCCTATCACTGAGAAACCTCGCTGAGGTGCAAAAAGGAAAGAAGTCTCCTATTTCTATTTTTTTAAAGGATCTATAACAGAAAAGAAAGCAATTAGAATAAGTGGGCTGAAAAAAAAAGAACTGCCTTTATTTATAGGGTTCCTCTATGACCAATCTAACTTAGAAACCTGTTTCATGGAAATGACAAAGTCAGAGGAACATGATTGAGGCAGTTACAGACCACTTGTGTTTTTATTCAGATGGATGTCCTCTGCAACCATGTCTGTGGACCATTCTACGTCTGAGATTATAAGTGCCTAAAAGTTTGGGGGTGGGGGGACATCAGATCAAAAGGACTGTTAAGCCCTGGGCACAAAGGCACAGTGCTTGATTCCTACATCCAAGTAACAAATATTTATGAAGCATTCCCTTGGGTCAGGCACACATGCTGACCTTGTTCTATAGCACCGAATCAGACAGACATAGTCTCTAAACTCACAGACAATCTGGCTGCTTAATAGAGTCGTGATGCTAAATGCCTTTAAATGATGAAGTATGGAGGTGTGGGGAAAAAGAGAAGAATCATGCAATCATTTTGGAACAAACACCAAACGGGAATTCAAATGTAACAAGAAGATACAAAGGAACAGTATTTAAGAACCAGATAATATAAGTTTTTGGGTTTCATCACGGTGAATAAGGTATACCAGGTTCTATACCCAAGTTCAATTTTCAGGAAGTAGCGGGAACACTCCACGAAAGCTCCAGTTCAGAATCCCAAAAATAGTCAATTCCAACTGAGCAATGAAAACAGATCAGAAAGTAATTTTGAAGACTCAGTGCATCCATGTGAAATGACACCATGGAGACACAATCGCCACCATCTAGATTGTAGAGAAACCACCGGAACAAACAACCTGGTTTCTTCAATAAATTAACTGCAGGGAATGAAAAACAAACAAACCAAAAAAAAGAGAGGAAGAAGAACCCTGAGAGAAGAGAGAAAGAGAGAGATTTGGGGAAATTTGAATACTGCTTAAATATTTCATAATAAAGAGCTATTGTTAATATTTTTAGGTAGATTAATGGTACTATGATTATGTTTTTTTTTTAAGGATTTCTCTCTTACAAAAATACTTACTGAAATATTTGTTGATGAAATGATGATAACGAGGATTTAAAATAATGCTTCAAAATAATCCCCAAGAGGATGGGGTGGGGCGGTGGGACAGTGGGTGGAGGAAGATAAGATTGGCCACACATTGACGACTGTGATACTAGACGATGAACAGAAGGCAGTTCATTTTCCTCTATTTTTATAAACATTTGAAAGTTTCTACAATAGAACACACCAATTTGGTTCCTGTCCTTGAATTCAGACGTAAGTTCCTGACCAAAATCAACAACTGAAGCAAGCCCCTTGCAATGTGGGACTTACAATTCCACCCAGCCATGATGAAGATGGGGTGTGGGGTGGTCAGTGTGAGAGAAGGGATGGAAGGAATGGAATGAAGACAAGCCGGGGGAATATACACTCACCTACGGCAGACAGTGCAATGGTAGGTTTCCTTGTGTCTCTGAAATATAAAAGTAGGAAATCAAATGCCCAATTCATATGCCACCATCCACCTCTGCATGCATTTCTTCACTTTCCTATCAGTGGGTACTTAGAGTTCAGTAGGAATAGGAGGGCCTTAAAAAGAGTGTAAAGAGAAGCCTATCTCTTTCCAGGTAGATGAAGTTTGTCAGTCACTTCAATTGTGGCCAAGTCTGAATTTCAAATCATACAGCCATATCCACAGGAAACGAGTTACATGATTTAGCATAGCCTGGGTGACTCTGATGTAGGAGAGGAAAAAGCCAAAAGAATACCTTCCTGGTGTCATTCCTCCTAAAGGAACAAGGGGACGGTCATGGAGGCCTAACTGTGCAAGAACCTCCCCAACAGCATTTCAAAGGTGGAGTGGAAAACTACTCTGGATGTTCACAACAGCCAAGAGGTAGAAGCAACCCAAGTGCCCGTGACCGATGAATGGATAAACAAAACGTGGTATACACATACGATGGAACGTCATTAGGCCTTAAAAAGGAAAGAAATCCTGTCCACGTGCTACGACATAGATGAACCTTGAGGACTTGATGCCAAGTGAAATAAGTCAGTCCTGAAGGAATGAGTACTGTACAATCCTGCTTATTTGGGGTCCCTGGAGTAGTCAAACTCACAGAGACAGAAAAGTAGAACGGTGGTCGCCAGGGGCCACTGGCGGGGGCGGGAGGGTTGGGAGGTTGTTGTTTACTGCGTACAACAGTTTCAGCTCTGCAAGATGAAAACGTTCTGGAGATGTGTTGCGCAGCCATGTGAGTATACTAACACTACTGACTGTATACTTCGAAATGGTTAGGACGGTAAATTTTATGTTTTATAACAACTTTAAAAAAAAAAAAATCTATTCCTAGATACAACGGGAGACTCTTGGAGAGGTTTATGGTTCACTACAAATGGTGAAATGACAGAACTGAGCGGCACCCTAGGGCTGGGAGGGCCAGACAAGGCCCATCTGCAGCTCCCGCTTACTATTTAGAAAACCTGAAAAGGAATTATCAGTTCTGTGTCTTTTCATCTTTAAGTTATAAAAACAATTGTCTCATGTAAATGAAGCATATCCTAACCCAGGCCCATAGCTCCCTGGAGGGTCTGTTTCTTTAAGAGCTTCTCTCTTCCATTTCCCCAGATTTTGTTCTTTGCTTCCTCAGGCTCTGCCTTTAACTAATCACCTCTGAAGCGCTAATCTGCATGGAACACAGAAGTCAGCAGACTCACCCTTACTCCCTAAGAATCCCTTTCGCGGGTCTGTCAGGTTTGTCACACCTCAATGCCCGGTTTGTCTTCCACCTTTCAGTGTAAAATCGCACAAATCCATTGCCATATCGGAGCACAAGAGCCTCGTGAGGGGAAAGGGTGTCCCATCTGGGGAACTCTACAGACTATACCCTCTAGTTTGTCACCTCTGTTACAGCAAAGGGAACTTTTCTCTACAGAGAGAGAGGGGAATAGACATTTATTAAGAACTTAAAACACGCCAGGCCCTAAGCCGGGCGCTCTTTATTCTTCACTCCATGAAGAGTAACCCTACCAGGCGGCTCTCGGCCCCATTTTACAAATGGGGAACTGAAGCCTCACAAAGAGCAAGTAAAGATCTGAGCAGATGTGTCTGTAGCACTGCCTACTGTAGCAGATGTGTGTCTGACCATCGAAATCCCTCCACCCTCACTTGCCACTTCAGTAAACTCCAGCCTGACTTCCAAATGCCAGGATCTGTGTGTCTTTGCCAAAGGATCTGCCTGGCTCGCGAAGCCCCTTTTGCAAACCTTTGTGACAAGAATGAAATGCCAGGGAATTAAGGCCCCTGGGGGTAACCAGTGACCGACAGTGGACATCACCCCCACTTCCTGCCCTCAGGGGTGGAACTCCCTCCTCTGAGGAGGGAGTTTTACACTAGTACCTAGTGGTCCCCAGTAAGGCTAAGTCTCACCTGCTCACAATGGTACCGGGTGGATAATGCACCCTCTATTTGTGGCCCTCTCGATCCTGTCTCTCTTTTCCATCCCCCTATGGAGTTTCTCTCACCTCCTAAATCACGTACCCCTCTCTCGGGGTCTTCATTTAGGGGAAACCAAAACAAGACACCTGATCTCTAAGACGAAGGTCTCAAATTGTCCCACAACCAAGTGGTTATGCCTCTTAATTGTTCTTACTTGATATCCCAAATGTAGATGTAGGTGTCCACGGAGCTGGTAACCAGGAGATCTGGCTCAAACACTGCCCAGTCCAAGTCGCTGGGAATACAGGCAATAAACAGGACAACAACATAGAGAAAAAATTCAGTCTGGTTCCAAAGCAGTAGCAGATTTAGTCTCTAGTAGCTTCAGAAAGTCACTGTGAATGGGCCTCTCAATATGGTTTAAGCTGAGAGTCTCCAAAGCTCTTTGGGAATGAACAAGATTTAACTAGCTCCAAAGGAAACTTTCAGGTTCTTCCCTTTGTCATCACTAGCTATGGAGCATTTCAACTACACACGCGCACACACATGCACACACACGCACACACACGCACACACACTCTCTCTCTCACACACACACACACACACACACACACAACAAAGGAAAAACACATAAAGCAATTTTTAACTTATCTTGTTCTAAATCTGACTCAACCACAGGTACCTTGAGTAAACCTCACATCTCTTAAAGCAGTGGGAAACTGCCACGTTGCCATATGGCTTTCAAGGGCAGGCCTCCGGTCCCCTTACTTGTGCCCTCCTCCCTAGAAAGGCAGTTACCACAGGAACAGTTGGCACAGGCTGAGGATCTAGCCTTTCTCATCACTCCCCAGGTCCACTTCACCACTCCCGCGCTCTCTGCTGCTACCTCCCAGGACAAATTTTCCCCCACCCAGAACAGTGATCCATGGCAAGGGTGGGTCGAGGAACACTCCAGAAGCCAATGGAAGGCCACAAGTGTACGGCAACTGTGCAGCTGGACAATGGCCTATGAGGCAGGCTCCCACGGCTGTCGGAGAAAGAGCATGAGGCTGCTCCCTGATGTCTCTGTACTCGTGGGCACTGCCAACTGTGACCTGAGGGACGCCTCTGGCATAACTTTGTCTCCCTCCTGAGGCAAAGATCAGCTCTAATCTGTACTCTGGACCGGGCTCTACCTGTCTAAGTTTCTGGGATCGGGGTTAACACTGCACAGATGCTGGTTCCCAAACACCAGCTGCTCTTCGCTGTACAAGCCATCACCTCAGGGCAAGCCGACGACCTAACAGCCTCCCAGGGCCAACACGACACAGACAGTCAAGCTGTGGAGGAGAAGGGTGTGACGAAGCAAGACAGTCCAGGGAGCCGTGGAGGGCTGGCGCCTACCTGATGACACGAGTGTGGCCCTGTAAGGTTGTGCCAACTTCCCCACTGCCGTCCTTCCACTTATACAGGTCGACCCGCTGGTTACTCTGAAAAGAAACAAGGCAAAGAAGGCGGCGGGCAGCATAGCAGGACTCACGCTCTCCCGCCAGTCTGCGCGAGGCCGAGCAGGGGAAGCCACGTAGAAAGCAACTTGCAACGATCCTACAGGTTGAACTTTTTTAAAAAGCCATCGGAAATACGTACGATTAATATCTGAGCTAACCTCAGCTCAGTACAAGGACTCTGAATTTCCAAACAGAAAGGCACTGCTATCTTCAAAATGAACCCGTCTTCAAAAATTACAGCTAAGCTGAAGCTACACGTGCACCACTGAGTATGTGAGTTATGGTAACGAACTTGTCCCCCAACCACTAGGAGAACCTCCTCCCCGCTCTGGAGGTCACGCATCCATCTCCCCGGCTGCTGTCACACTAGATTTTTTTCAGCTCACTCTTCCCATTATCAAATGCCTAGAGTCTATCTACCATACCTATAAAGCAGAGGCACAAGAAAGAAAACAGAAACACCACCAAAGGGGTGTCCTAGAAGGCAAAATTACACAGACTCTTTAAACTGGCCTGTATGGAATTTCTTAAAGATCTAAGCAGAAAGATACAGAGAAAATGGGCCAGAAGAAACCACGACTACAACAGAAAAAGATAAGAAGAAAAAGGTTTGATTAAACTATATTTCACTTAAACAAACCAGCAAAAGCTCCCTAACTATCATGAGCTTATGAAACAAACTAAAAGTGAATAAAGATTACTAATAGGCCATTTAATAACTTCTGAACTGATATATATAAAACCGATTTTCATTACAGCTCAGAGTCAGATAGATATATAGAGTTCTGAGATTTTTATCCTGAAATGCCAGATTCCAATTCTAAATAGGTAAAATTCCTGTGAAAAGGTTAGGATTCAAAATAGCTTCCACTGGGGATAGAAGTGAAAAAAAAAGTCCCCTCATCTTATAATATTATCTGCCATTGCCAGAGGGTTTGCTAGTGCCAGTCTATGAACTGGGCACCTTGGGAAACCTGCCCTCTGCTCCTTCCCACCACACTGTACACCGGTGGTGTCATCGCCCATGACAGATGAAGCACATCTCATATAGATGAGGCAACTGAGACTCAATCAACTAAGGCTCAAAAAGAAAAAATAATCAATAAGTTGAATTTTATCAAAAATTAAAACTTTTATGTATCAAAGGACATTATCAAGAAAGTAAAAAGATAATCTACAGAACTAGAGAAAGTGTTTGCAAATCATATACCTGATAAGAGTCTAATATCAAAAGTATATAAATAACTATTATAACTCAACTGCAAAAAGACAAGTAACTCAATTTCAATTAAAAAATGGGCAAAGGACTTGAATAGACATTTCTCCAAAAAAAGATATACTGATGGCCAACTGGCACGTGAAAAGATGCTAAACATCATTAGTCATTAGGGAAATGCAAATCAAAACCACAGTGAGGTACCACTGCCACCCTAGGATGGCTATCATTTAAAAAAATTTTTCAATAATAAAACAGGAAATAACTAATTTTCATGAAAATGAGGAGAAATTGGAACCTTTGTGCATTGCTGGTGGGACTATAAAACAGTTCAGCCACTGTAGAAAACAGTTTGATAGTTCCTCAAAAAGTTAAACACAGACTTACCATCTGACCCTGCAATTCTACTGCTAGATATATACCACGAAGAACTGAAAACAAGTACTCAGAAAGTACATGTACACGCATATTCATATCAGCACTATGCACAAAAGCCAATCCAAACATCAATCAGTGGAAGAACGGATAAACAAAACGCAGTCTATCCGTACAATGGAATATTATTCAGACAAAAGGAGTAAAGTGCTGATACATGCTACAACATGGATAAAGAAGCTAGACACAAAAGGTCATGTGTTGTATGATTCCATTTATATGAACTATCCAGAACAGATAAATCCACACAGACAGAACAGATTGGTGGTTGCCAGGGGCTGTGGGAGGGGGAAATGGGGAGAAACTGCTTAATGGTAAATGGTCTGATGCTGAAGTGATGAATGTTTGGGAACTAGATAGACATGGCAGTAACACAACATTGTGAATGCAATAAACGACACTATATTTTCATTTTAAAATAATCATCTTAAAAAAAAAGGCTGTCTTTCTCGCCACTCGTAAATAAATGCAGTGTTAATTCACTTGTACCGAGTACTAAGGGGTCAGCCTAAATCAGTGCTTCCCAATCAGGTCAGCCTAAATCAGTGCTTCCCAGGGGACATTTAACAATGTCTAGAGACATTTTGGGTTATCACAATTAGGGGAGAGTAGCGGATGCTAGTAGGTAGGGGTCAGGGATGCTGCTAAATCTCCCGCAGTGCACAGGACAGCCCCCGCCACAAATAATTACCTGGCCTGACTTGTCAATAGTGTCAAGGTTGAGAAACCCTAAACCAAATGAGAGGCTGAGTAGAGAGGGGAGCTAAAGGGCCTTGAGACATCAGTCAACAAAAAGAGCATCCTTCCTGACACACAGGAAAGAGGTGGAGAATGGGACAGCAGCAGACTGACTCGCCCCTTCCCCTTCAGAACAGTCCCCAAACCAGTTCAAGCTCAGACACCCACGGTTAAAGTTAGGTAGTCAGATATTATTATGGAAATGATGGGGAAGAGTAGCTTTTGAAAGGTTCCTTCTAAAGCTGACGTCACTCTTTTCTCAGATGCTTTCCTCTCAAGGACTGTCAGTCCCAATAAGAACAGCCTCAGACAGCACTATGAATGGTCACATCTGCTGGACAATAAGAAAGATTCCTATAGATACTGTCCTTCTGGCCCAGTGCAAAAGGAGCCAAAGATCGAGATCTCTTATTGTTCTAGGAGAACAGAATGCTGACAGAGAATCTGATGAAAGATACCAGAGATGATATGCCCAGAATTTTCTCTCGGTCATGAATCCCTTGGAAAACCTAATAAAATGTATACACCTTTTCCCTGGAAAAATTCACACATAATCAGGCACATAAAATTTTCAGACGGTCAACTGATCTAATGAATCCCAATCAAAAAAGAACCCCTTCCTTTAAGTGAAAGGGTATATGGAACCTTCTAATTCCTCTGAAAGCAGTGAAGATCAATGCCAGACCAGCTCACTAGTTTCCCCTTACAATATCTTTCATGGTCACTGACTAGTTACATTGCTGCTAATGAAAACAGGTTCTCATCAGACATGGAAATGTTTCTCTTCCAAAATGTAGATTTAATCCTTAGAAACACAAGGTCTGGCACCTATAGCACCAGCAAAACCTCTTCATATATTTTTTTCATCTGTAATTTGTCTCTATCTTCCTTCCACACCTCTTTTTCACCTAAGAAACGAGGGTTACATTCTCTTCTCTGCATAAGATATATAGCTTCCAGCCCCAGATCACACACTTAAAAGCCTTTTCCTGTTCTCCTTAAGTAAGCTCACCGAAGCTGCAAAATAGTGCGCGAAGCTGTCGTGAGGGTTCCACTGCACAGCTCCAATGTCCCATTTGCTCTGGCGAGAGATCTTTCGGTGACCTTCGAAAGGGGCATCTAGATTAACGATGTACAGGAATCGGCGGCTAGGAAAATAACATCGATATTATGAAATATAATAGCATTAGCATTGAGATAGAAAAGCACATTCAGAATGACATGTGGTTTGCAAGCAGTGCTCAAAAAATCCCCAGATATATACAACTGTTCATCTCCTCTGAAAGGCACACAAGTGACAAGAGTAATTCAAGGTGGCCGTTAGACAAGCGGGTGCCATATCCCTGTGAGAATCTACCTCTGGAGACGGTCTTCCCTACCGTATCCATGAAAGTCTGACTTCCTCCCACTGCACTCGGGGCTCAAACCCTGCCCCTCCCCCAGCCTCTTCCAATCCCCCAGTTAGGACAGTCACGTTTCTATGTTACTCCTAATACATGGTCTGCACTTCGACAGCAGTATTTATCTCTAGCAGAACCGCTAATGCTCAGGCTCTCGTCCCAAACCTACTGAGTGTTTGGAATACGGACCATGTCTCGAATATCTCTGTACATCCAATCCAGCATCACTAAGCAGAGTGCTTTGTACTCAATAAATGTGTACTGAATTAAACACATCACTTATCGCTTAGCCAAATATCCTATAGAAAAATCTCAAATTCCCTTGCAAGCTGGCCAACTGGAAAGGGAACTAAATTAAGTCTATCAAGAGGGTAGAAATAATAACCGAAAAATAATAATAATGAAAATAACATATGAAGTGCATATAATGCTCTAGGTGCCAATCAATGTAAAGGAACTGAAAACAGAGATGTTCTATGTTCACCCATTTTTCTTTTTTTTAAGTGAAAAATCCTTGGTGTATGAATCAACATTTCAGCAACCATCAGCCAGCCATTGATTCATTGCTGGAGAGCGCTCCAAGGCCCTGGATATCAAAGATAAGTGGGCTTAATAATGAAGAAAAAGATAAAGTCCCTGCTTAGAAAAGATAGGAAACGGAAAGTTAAGGTGGCATGTTAAGCTCTAGCAGAAACCCTAGGAGGGATGGTTATGAAAGAACACACAGGTAAGACACAAATTCACGGAACTCCTGGGACTTCTGAAAGTTGCTGCAGAACAAAGATCTAGAACCTCTGACCTCCTCCAAAGGAATCACCGAGTCCTATGGCAGGCAGGTTGGCATCTTGCCATTAGAACGAAAAACAGGAAAAGGCTAAGGGCTATACATATGGGGTGTGTGTCAACAGGAGAGTCACAGACATTCCGAAGCAAATACAGAACAGAAAGTGGGAACTTCGGGGAAAACGTGCCTGATTAAACATGTGTTTATCTTCGGGCCCCCTCTGAAGACCCACTAAAATAAGGGTAAGAACATAAAAGACAGAAACCCACAAAAACAAAGAAAATGAAAGAGGCAATGAAAAGCAGATGGATAAATGGTAACTGATCTAGAGTAAGGAAGCTAATGCCCAAGTGTCTGCAGAGAAGTGATGAGAAGCAAGCTGATCTACAGCGCCCGGCCTGCTCAGGAGCTGCAGGCTGTGGGCTGCGGGCTGCAGGCTGCGGGCTGAGGGCTGCGGGCAAGAGGAAGAGAGAGAGGGCTGGACAACCAAAAGCAGAACAAAATACAAAACCGGAGAATTGTTTGAAGGAACGCTCCGGAGAGTGGTTTCAGCACACCCCACAGAGCCAGATGGCCTCCTCCCCATTCTCCTTCACCCAAGCGGAGGGTGGGTGATGCGCTTCAGAGAAATGATATCAGAGAAGCTGGGGGCTGGGACAAGGGGCACAGCAAAGTAAACGAGAGGGGCTGCGCTCAGAACGGGACGTGAAGTGCGATGTGAGACCCTCGGGCCTTTCTCCCGGCTCAGCACTCACAATGCTTAGCTTTTAGTCTTCAGACAGCGACTAGTGACAAGAGGAATCTTCCCAGGAAGAAATGACCAACACAAGAAAGAAAAAGCAAACAAATAATAACAACAAAACCTTGGGGATAATGACATTTGGGCACCCTCTTACAAAGGGGCCTGGTTCCCACCGGATCACCCTACAGTGAACCCCACCACCGCTCAGGTGAACAGATTCCATCACTCTCTAATATTAACAGAGCCCACGAGTATCAGCCACCAGAGGAAATCTAAAAGACAGACCAAAACAAAAAAAGAAAAAGGAAAGGAAAGAAAAATCTAGAATTAATATTCTCAGAGGCAAAAGAGGACAATGTAAAGAACAGAGAACCAAAAAAAGAGCTCTTAGAAATTAAAATTTAAGTTGAAATCCGGTAGAAGGGTTGGAAGTTAAAGTACCAGAATGCAAAAGCAGACCAAAAGAGAACCCGTACAGGATGTGTGACACAACTAACAATAGCTCCAGAAAGAATGAGAAGAAATAGAGGAGGGGAAATTATCAAAGACACAGATTTCCAGACCGAAAGGGCCACCCAAGGTGCTAAAAATTATTCTGTATCTTAATCTGAATGGTAACCACATAGTGTATGTCTGTAAATTTATTTAATCTATTCAGTTAAGTATATACTTTATATACATATTTAAAGTTCAAATAAGAAAATGAAAATGGTGAGCTTCAATTAAAATCATGCTGGAAAAAATCATGCTGAAAAATAATGTGAATGCAATCATATCTAAGAACACCCCAAAACAGAAACACTTGCATGATTTCCATTCACGTAACCCTATTTTCTCTTAGAATCCTACGAATGGCAATATCCACATCAGTAAATGCTAAGAAGGCTAACATTTGAAACACAGTTATTGGAGGGCACCTGAGAGTATTTTATGGGTTGTTAATATAGCTATAAGAGGCTAAGTATATGTTATATTTCTATTCGTTTAGATAAAATAAGCATGAATGTAAAAAAGGGGGGCACTGTAGGTCCCTACACAATGAATGAAAAAAGACCCACATGAAAGCAATCATGGTGAAAATTTCACACACACTGGAGATAAAGATGATACTACAGACAAAGATAGGATTTTAAAGCTTTCAAAGAGAAAAAACAGGTCACATACAGAATCCAGAATCAGAATGGCATAGGACCTCACGACAATAACTGAGAAAAAGAACTCCAAATACCGATTCAACTCAACAACTGTTGTTATATGACTATATTGGAAGGAGGGGGGAAGACAGGTATATATGCAAGAGTCACAGAGCAAAGTAAAAGTGCTAAATCCTCATTTTCTATTGCAGAAAGTCGATCTGAATAGCTATGATGGATAAATCAAGACACAGCACTATACATATACTGTTTGGAAAAATTGAGGTAATCCAAAAGAAACAACTAAAAGAGTCTCAAGTAGTTGCTTCTGGTGGGTGGGATCAGGGGTGGCCGAAAGGTGAGATACGATTCTGCTGTCTGACAATATAAGCCTTGTAATGCTACTTGACTTTTGATATGTATAGGTATTTCCTCAATTAAAAAAAAAAAGGTTAAAAACTGAGTAGAAGATTAATAATATATAGCAAAAATAACTCAATTGTACACTTTAAATGGGTGACTTGTATGGTATGTGAATAAAGCTGTTTTTAAAAAAAAGTGACTAGGAAGGAGGCACAAAAGAGATAATAATTTTTCCTTATTTTGTATATGCAACACAAAAAATGGTATTGATAATTGTCTCCGGGGAGAGGGGTCAGAGGGAGGAGGGAAAATTACTTTCCATTGCATATCTTTTTCAATTATTTAAATGTTTGATATGTGCTTTTTTAAAGTAAATTAAAACATAATTTCAAAATAAAATGGAATAATAGAAAATATTCATCGATTTATAAAAGGGTTCATAAACAGCTACGTTAATGAAAACACAGTTGAATTTGAGAGTTGGAGTAGTTATCTACAGCAATATAAAAGGGAAGAGAGGACTGACCATTAAATATTATCATACTGGGACAATGTTAGGGCGATTAGCAAATGCAGGGATGGCCCTTCAATGCCGGAATCTTAAAAATTTTGAGCTAAAAGAAACTATAGAAATTATGTAGTTCAATTTCTTCACGATGAAATAGAATTCCTTTATGAGAAAATTGAAGTCCAGGGAGGTCAACTGAATAAATGTCCAGGTCAACTGAATAAATGTCCAGGGTTCATAATTAAAGGCTTGTCAAATGGGAACCCAGACCCCTCAATCCTAGTAACTAACTATCCATGAGACCACACCAGATACCATCATTCTGAAGAGTCTGCTCAGTAAACAGAAAATTCAAGACCAAACTACCAGCCACTAAAATTTCAAAGGAATTTTATTGCTTACCTGTTAGGACAGGGATAAAAATAAACTGCAAATAATCCCTACCTGTACCCCTGAGGTCACTAGGATAGCAAAACTAAACACTACAACCGTAATTCAAATATAAGAGTATTTTCCAATTTACCAGAAACCTCTTGATTTGTTATTTGTTCCCAGAAGTCATGGCAGAGAAACAGCAAGCTCACTTACCCGGAAAGCACTGCGTGCTGCCCCAGACAGTCCACAGACATTGCAGTTGCCTGTGAGAGAGAACACAGATTCAGTTCTGCCAGCATAGCCAGCTTAGGTTGGAAAAGACAGGCAGGTAGTCAGTCACCTCGGGGTCTTCCTCTTCCCATGGCCCAGGTAGTCCCCAGTAGGCAGGTATCATTAGTTGTCTACAGCAGATACTTTTACCCACTTCTAGTTCTCATCCAAATTTCACGTTCACTTTCACAGTAGGGCAATTGCTGTCTTTTCCCCTCCAACGCCAGGACTAAACACGACAAAACTGGTGTATTCTAAATTGAGGAGACAGAGGTCCTGGAGCTCTTGGAGAATCTGACTAGCTTGGAGCACACAGAGCTACTCAGAGCCCCTTCCAAGCAAAATCTAACCTAAGACAAATCTCACACACTGACACACACACACCCCTCACCCACGCCTTTCCAAAGGGCATGGGCTCCTCCTCCATGCTGAACTGCAGTGGTAATGTTCACACACCGACCCTACTGAATCCACTGTCATATTCTTGTTATTGGGATGCCTAGCTCCTATTTAATGAGATTTCTAGCGCATTTCACTACTTTCCTTTTCCCAGGTCTCCCAATTCCTAGGAAACACCATCTTTTCAGTATCCAAGAGACCATACCAGATCAAATGAATGTACATTCAGGCTGAAGCATGAGGCTGATTTTAATTATGGGAGTTACAGCCCTAAATTCTCTTACTTGAACAAGTTCAAATCCTGCTGCGTTCTCAGGGCACTGTCTGAAACAGTTTGTGCCACTGTTTGGTTATTAAATGCTTTTAAGTTATTTCTAAGAGACTATCAAGAAAGAAACCATTTTGTATATGCTACTATACTCACAAATCACAGATGGTGAACAGAAATTCCCTTACTCTCACTGGTCTTATTAATGGGATTATCATACTCATACACCCTCAAGAAACATATCATAGGTAATAATGGGGACAAGACGCCAGAGTGTTCTCACTGGAGGCTGAAAGTGTTTATTATGCATCCTTCATTCTACTAAAGTCATGAGCAGAGAAAAAAGCCCAGTTGGAAAGGCAGGCCGTGAAATGAGACGCCATTTTCAGAACTCTTCTGTGCGATTTACAGATTGAAGGTAAGAAAGAAAGCAAGATGGTACCTCCAACCAAGGGTAGTACCATCTTTCGAGAGGGTGTGCAACAGGCAGAATCCTAAGGTGGCCCTAAGATTCTGGGCCCTCGATATACGCATACATTCTCCCCATTATTCAAACACTAATCAAGGTACTACTGTGAAGGGATTTTGTAGATTAGATATAATTAAGGTCCCAAATCAAATGACCTTAAGATAGAAAGACCTGAAATGACACAAATGTCTATCAGCAGATGAACGGATAAACAAAACGTGGTATATACATACAATGGCATACATGCTACAATGGATGAACCTTGAAAACATTAGGCCAAGTGAAATAAGCCAGGCACAAAAGGACAAATATTGCATGAGTCCATTCATACGCAGTACCTAGAATAGGTAAATTCATTGAAACAAAAAGCAGAATAGAGGTTGCCAAGGGCTGAGAGGAATGGGAAATGGGGAGTCATTGTTTGAGTACAGTGTTTCTGTTTGGGATGACGGAAAAGTTCTTGGGAGCGGGGTGGTGGAGACATATAGATACCTAATTACATCATCCCTTTATCTAGTTCTAAAGGTCAGAGACAGAGGAAGTCAGAGATTTGAAGGGTGAGCTAGGTCACTTCCCCTAAGATCACATGCCTAATGTCTCATACCTGAGCAAAGACTATAATGTATGCATTATCAGATTTCATAGAATAAAACCAAACTGAACCCGCTGATATAAAAAAGATCAGGTCATTTCCAACGACAAGAGCCAATCTCTTTCAATTAGAGACAGACCCTGCTCCCAAGGCTGCTTTTGAACCATCGCTGTCTAATGCTTACTAGAGGTTATCTCCCCCAGGCTCTGTTTACACGCCCAGAATATTGGGTGTTTCTCAGAAAGTTTCTCCCTTTAAAATGAAAACATCTTCACTTCTCCACAAACGAAAATGGCACAAACTATAACTAGAAAAATCACCTAACTTCTGAGTCTCAGATCTTTATCTGTAAAATAGGAGGGTAGATGAGAGATGTCTTTTAAAAGTCCTCTCAGCATCATGAGTCTATTTTGTCAAGCTAAGTCTGTTGCTTTCTGAGGCAAGGTTTCTAATATAATCATAATAATTAACATGTATCAAGCACTTAATGTACACTGGCAACTGTGCGAAGTGCTCTGTGTTGATTATATCATTTAATCCTCAGAGCAACTCTATAAGGTAGTGAGCAGAAGAGTCATCGGCAGGTATGAGACTGCTAACCTTAGAAAGGCCTGCTTTCAAGGTTGGCCCTTAGCAATGGGAACTCTCATTCAGGAAGTATTCCCATCATTCTCTCACTGGTAAGAGTGGCACACTGTGCCTAAACTCTATGTACAAACAATGTGGTTTCTGTTGAGCATTTGTTACCCTTCCAGGAATCTGGAATTTTGGTACATGCTAGCCAGAGGGTGCCCACGTGACCAACCCCAAATAAAAACTTTGGGCACTGAGTCTCTCATGAGCTTCGGTGGTAGACAACATTTCACATGTGTTGTTACAGTTTGATGCTGGAGGTATTAAGCATGTCCTGAGTGACTTTACGATGAGAAGACTTGATATCTTGTGCACGGTGGTCTCCACCTGACTTTACTTTCTCCCTTTGATTTCGTTTTGTATCCTTTCGCTAAAATAAGTCGTAACTGCAAATACAACTGTGAATCCTCCTAGTGAAACTGGGAAGGCTGGGGGGAATCCTGGACACAGGCAGGTACTATTATCCTTGTTTTACAGATGAAGAAATTGAAGCTTAGAAAGGAGGTAACTTGTCTGGGAACACATGGCAGATAGGTGACATAAGAAAAGCAGGTACCAAAGCTGGATTGCTCCAGAAAAATACATGGACTACCCACTACTCATAACTTTCCTCTTAGCTAAATAATTTGGCAAGTTGTTTTTGTTTTTTCGGAGCAAAAAAAAGTCCTCAGTCTTTCTCTGTGTGGAAGAGTTATAGACTACTAAGCCATCAACCACTAGGGCAGCAGAGAGCAAACTTTCTGCCGAGATGCCTCGTTTTCAATTTCGAGGTAACACATCCCACGATCTAGCATTTCTACTCCTATGTAAATACCATGCTTATATATCGTCATCTACAATAACAAAAAAATTAGAAACAACCAAAACGTTTAATGACAGAGGGATAAACCAACTGTGGCATATTCACACAATGGAACACTACTTCACAGCAAAATTAGTAAACCACGGGCATAGTAATGAACATGGATGAACCTCAAAAACAACGCAGGGCAAAAAGAAAGCAAGTCACAAAATTCACAGTATATGATTCCATCTATATAATGATCAAATACAGTCAAAATAAAGCATTGTTTCCATTTATACGTGTGTGGTAAAACTACAAAGAAAAGCAAAGAAATGATTAATCCAAAATTCAGGGCAGTCTCTGCCTCTAAAAGGTCTTAAGAGAGAGATATGAGCTAGAGAAAAGGTATTGAGGCTTAAAAATAACTGGAATGACCTATTCCTTAAGTTTTGAGGAGGGCATATTTTATTATTCTTTATGGGGGTACCAATCATTCATATGGACGACATATTCTATAATAAAATAACTGCACTGTACTCCAGCTGATAAAGTAGTTTCCTTAGAAGGTACAGGTTAACAATTCTGAAACCACTGCACATGTCCACGGAAATGACAGTTAAGAAATGGATGGAAGATGATAGGAGCCAGGTTTCTCACTGTGGGAGTGGGAGGTGACTGATAAGCCGAGAGTGGGGGTCACAATGATCCCTGAGATAATGGATCACGGTTGAAGATGTTAGTATGAACTCATGTTCAGCTTAATATAGACAAAGATGGTTTCATACAGAAATATTTACAGCTATGTGTATATACATGGATTAGTATACATTCATACATTTCTTGTTTTGTCAGCTGAAAGGGCCTAGAGGCAATGACACTCCAATAGCAATAAGCACCTCTAGCACCAGATCTTGATTTCTAATATTCTCCAATAAAAGAAACCAGGGTTTCTTGCAGCTATGGCTAATTTTAGGACTGGAATTGAAAATATACATGATGAGAGTTGAGCATCTTGTAGTACTAAAAAGTATTTAAAAAAAAAAAGATGGGGTATGCCAAGGGAACACGAGAACCAACTGAAGGAGCTCCCAGTGGTGAAAGCTGGAACAATTGGAACAATTTGGGCAACAAAATAAAGTATTGGATTCTAATCCAAAATACGAAATAAATAAGAGTTCATACTGATATAAACAAATAATTGATAAATAAATGGGGGAGAGTAACTCCCCACTCTTTAAGCATGGGCTGCATGTAGCAACTACCTCCCAAAGAGTACAGTAGTCCCCCCCTTATCCACCAGGATACATTCCAAGATGCCCAGTGGATGCCTAAAGCCATGGCTAGTACTGAACCCTACATATACTATGCTTTTTCCTATATATACACATACCCATGATAAAAAATTTAATTTATATATTAGGCACAGTAAGAAATTACAGTAATAATAATAGAACAGTTGTAACAATGTATTCTAATGAAAGTTACACGAATGTGGTCTCTCTCTCAAAATATATTACTGTACTACACTCACCTTCTTACAATGATGATGTGAGATGATACAATATCTATGTGATGAAATGAAATGAAGCAAATGACCTAGCATTAGGCTACTACAAGGGTTAATTGAAAACAAGCAATGAGATGCCGAGACAGCTGAGATGGCTACTAAGTGACTAACCAGTGGCAGCGTATATACGTATATACGCTAGACAAAAGGCTGATTCATGTCCTGGGCAAGATGGAGAGGGACAGTGCGAGATGTAAACATCCTATTCAAAAAGGCACAAAATTTAAAACTTATGAATTGTTTATTTCTGGAATTATCCATCTAATATTTTCAGACCTCTGTTTACTAGAGGTGACTGAAACCATGGAAAGTGAAAAGGCCAATAAAGAGGGACGACTGTACAGACAGACAGAGGAAAAAAAGTACATTTACAGTATGGAAACCTGACAAGCACTACCTCAGCCAGGTGATCAAGGTCAATATCAACAATGGAATGTCATGATCATTGCATATACACTTGGTATCATGTGATGAGCATGTTCCTTTACCTCTGGGGTATTCCTCTCAAAAACCCATAATCCCAGTCTAATCATGAGAAAGACATTAGACAAATCCCAACTGAGGGACATTCTACAAAATATCTGACTAACACACCTCAAGACTGTCAAGCCATCAAAATCTGAGAAATTGTCACAGCCAAGACAGGCCTGAGGAAACATGACAACTAAATGTAATGTGGTATTCTCAATGGAATCCCAGAATAGAAAAAAGATATTAGGTAAAAACTAAGAAAATCTAAGTATGGATCTTGGTTAATAGTAATATATCAATACTGATTCACTAATTGCAGAAAATGTACCACACTAGTGTGAGAGTTATTAACAGGAGAAACTGGGTGCAGATATATGGGAACTCCCTACTGTCTTCCCAATTTTTTTATAAATCTAAAGTAATATAAAACAAAAATTTATTTTGAAAATCATGAAAACCTAAATACTTTTTCTTAATTCCTCTTATTATTAATCAATGCGTTGATTTGTCAAATTTATTCATTCAACAAACATTTGTTGAGCGCTGGTGCACACCGAGGACTATTCTAGGCACCAAGGACACAGCAACGAGGCGGCCTCCACCCTCGGCGAACTTACACTGCAGTAAGGGGAGAAAGATGAAAATAAACAGTGAGGGAAAAGTAGTGCGAGATGTGATCTGAGAAGCAGGCAGACACCGACACACAAAAACAGTCCAAAATAAGGAATTTATATTTTATTCTAGGTACAATAGGAAGCCACTGAAAGATTTTCATAAACAGAGGGATATGAACTAATTTGTTTTTAAATATATCACCTCGATATTTATTACAGCTCCAATCATAATTGCCCAAAATAGAAAACAATTTAAATGTCCATAAACAGATGGATGGATACATAAATTGTGATCTATCCAATACTACTGGGTAATAAAAAGGAACAGACTAACTGGTATGTTCAATGTGAATGAATCTTGAAAGCACTAGGCTAAGTGAAAGAAGCCAGACTCAAAAAGTTACACAACCTATGATTCCTTTGTTACAAAAATCACTTCAGTAAACTGCCAAGAGATGGAAGTAAGGGAAGGAGAATGGCTACGCAGAGGCGTGAGGGAGTTTGTTAGTGTAAGGGAAATGTTCCATATTTAATTGTGGTGATGGTTACGGGGCTATATACATCTGTCAAAACTCAACAAAATGTACACTTAAAAGGGTAAATTTTATTATACATTAATTATACCTCAGTCAACCTGGATTTTTAAAAAACACTTGTGTGGAGGATATATGGAAAGGGGGCAAAAAGCTAGGGTGCAAGGAGAGGTCCCAGAATATGTCCAACTACTATGACATTGAGTTTGAGATATCTCACAGATGCTCAAGTGGACATGTTAAGCAGACAGTTATTATGAGTCCAAAGTTCCTATCTTTATCACAATAGTCATATCCTGTAGTATTTTTGCATTTACTGTTAAGAGACTTGTTAACTGCACATTGTCACCTTACCTCTCTTTGCGAGGGGAAGCTATTCAATCGGCACTACACTTTCCAATACCATGGCCACTATTCACGAGTGGCAATTTAAATGGCAACTAATTAAAATTAAAAATGAAATATCTCAGTTGCACTTCCCCATTTCAAGTGTTCAACAGCCACAGTTCCATCATCGCAGAAAATTCTTCTCGATGATGTTACCTTAGAAGATTATCTCTAAATTTTCTTACAGTGTTAACACTCATTGATTCCAGGGACCACTGCAGAGTAGTTGCCTAGCAGCACTGGTTCCTCAGTATTAATCGGTGACAGTAATATTTCAAGGTACTGTCTGGTAAAATAAATGATGCTTGTATAAGCTGTTAAAAAAAAAAAAGTTTTACCTTTCAAGCTGAGGTTTTTCACTGAAAACCTAAAAACTGTTTTGTTTTTTTTAAGTGGCAAGTTGTTTTGAAAAGTTTATTGTTCCGGCCTTCCTTCTCAGAAAGACAATATTAAGAGATTCAACTTTTTGTCTCATTAATGAAACAGTTAATAAAATGGGTCCTTACCCCCAACAATTACCACCAGAATCAACCACAAAACCATGCTAATTCACACCAATATGTACCATTCCAACTGAATGAATAGAAAAATCAGAAAAACAGCAACTCCACAAAACAGTTGAATTAGCCAATTTACTTTGTCCTCTTACTTTGACAACTGCTGTTTCGATTTATTTAAAACTACTTCATAGCATCCTAATATACGTGTCAGCACTCTCTCTGCGGGTCTCTTCAATTACATTTCTAGAGGGAAGTAGGAGTGAGACTACCTGGGCTTCTATGAGAATTAAAGGATTTACAGATTAGTAGCTTCCCAATTAACAGGCTCAGAGGTACCATACATGATTTTGTTCTTAGTCCTCAGTGAAAGAAATTAACAAGAAAGGTGAAAGGAGTATGGCGCCTCCCTTGGGAAAGCCCACCTCCACGAGACACCCGGTGCTGACGGTGCAAAGTGCCTCAGGATCCTTTAATCGGAATACTGCTCCTCCAATTTTCCATGGGAACTCCATATCAGACAGCACCATAGAGCAAGATGGCAGGTGGCTCCCCCAACTCATTATCTTTATGGCATAAGAGGAGATGGGGTTTTATAAAAAAGAAACCACATCACTCCCTTGTTGTAATCCTAATTTCCCTTCAGTATAAATCACCTGAGTATCAACACAGTGCCTGGCACAGTGTGCTCCTGGCAAGAGCTCAATAAATCCTTGTTGAACAAATGAGTGAATGAAAGCCTGGCACACAGAAGGTATTCCATAAATATTTGCTGCATGAAAAGCATAAAAAAGAGAATCACAAAGACACTGTCCTAGGTGCTCAGGATAGGGGGAGGGACATGGCATTTATTGAGGAACTACTATATGACAGGCTCAGTATGAAGCACAGTAGTGCAATGAGGCTGACAAGAGCTCTGGGACCAGAGGCCTGAGTTCAAATCCCAAAGCGGCTACATAATGGAAGGCCTTGGCCAAGTCACTTGGGATCAGCCAAACCCGGATCAGCTCCCCTGTTTGGAAAAAAGGGGTAAGATCTACTTATCTTGTGTGGTTCTTTCATTAATTAGAATAAGAAAACGTGGATAAATCACTTAGCACAAGTCCTGGCATATGGAAGACAAAATAAAAAAATGGGAAAAATCCCTAGTAAGCGATAACGTTCCTTGAGGCTTACCATGTGCCTGCCACTATGCACCACATTCTAAATGTATGACCTCATAAAATTCTCAGGCCAACTCTATGAGGTAGATACGATTAGCACTTTCTTACATACAGGTGAGCAAACCGATGAGCAGAGTGATGACAAGCTAGGGGCTGAGCCGGGATTCGAACCCAGGTAATATATGCAGTGTACACTCCTATTTACTCACTGTACGAGATTTTCCACTATTCTAGCATTAGCAACCACTTAAAAGCTTAGGCTCTGAAACAGGGTTTTGTTTTGTTTTGATCGAATCCACCCCAAGATCCTGTGAGGAAGGGTAAAGCCCACACAGTTAAGGCTTAGAGAAGTTCTGCGACTTGCCCAAAGTCACTAAGCGCGACCACTGGCCTCGAAGAGCTAACACCCCCTCTCTCATCACCGGGTTGGGAGCCTCCCCTCAGCGTTCACTCGCGCGCAATCACTGAGCTTCGGTGTCCCAAGGCAGATTTCCCTCCCCTTACTTCCATGGGGAACCCCAAAACCCTGTCGGTGCCCGCCCCAACCGCCTCCAGTGGTCCTCAAGGCTCCCACGCGCCCGCTCGGGTCTGACAGCTCCAAGCCACCCTCTTGTCCATCTCCCCAGGCCCGGCCCGGGGGGGGATCGGCGCGAGTCGGACTTGGCAGAGTGGGGGAAGGGAACCCGGGAGGGCGCATGCCCAGAAGGCTCCATCTGGCCCCTAGCTTACCTGGGAGTCGCGGAACTCCACCACGACATTCTCGCTGCTCCATCGCGCCGCCATCTCCCACACCCGCCGGCCCGGATCTCAGGACCGCGTGTACCCAGCCCCTAAACCCACGATCCAGGTTTCGGTGAGCCACACGCAGCCCACGAACAAGCCCAGCCACGCCCCGTTCCCCCTTCCGCTGGACCACAAACCATTGGCTGACCCTATCACCGGATCCGCCCCCTCTTCCAGGCTCCTCCAATCTTCCCTCACGCTAACTGAGTCACTCACGCTCCTCGCGTCTGCAAACACACGCCCCCTGCCGCAAGCTGTGCCGGGAGTTGTAGTCCAAGGTCGAGTAGCACGTGGGAAACACAGGGAGAGCTAGTGGATTAAGGTTTGGCGTGCTGTTCTCCGTGTCTCCTCGCTGGTATCCCCGACAAGGCCCAGGATGTATACAAATAAAAACCCAACATAACTGCAAACCAAAGGTTACCTCTTCCCCTGAGGTCTGCGATAAACGCATTGAAAAGTCTGAAGGTGCGATTTGTTTCGTACTGTACTGCAGCGCCCGCCGCTGTCTAGGGACTCCAGGGGGTCTCCACGACTCTTTCGAGGGGTTTCTGAAGGCAAAACAATTTTGCTAATCATACTAAGACGTTTGCCTTTTTCACTTTCTCTCATCAATATACAGGGGAGTTTTCCAGAAGCTATATGATATATGTTGTAGCATACTGAACAGGAGAAGCGGATGTGAGAATCCAACGGTTTTCTATTAAGCCCGACATAGAGATTTGCCACTTTTCCCACTAAAATTTTTTTGTTTTGTAATTTCGTCTACAAAATGTATTATTAACGTTAATGTGCATTCATTAAGTAAAATCACAAATATATTTTTAATTCTCAGTTTTAATTTCTAATAATTAGTATATATAGCCCGCATAAAAGTTGGTGGGAAGGGCGGGTCGTTAATAAGTTTTAAGAATGTAAAGGGGTCCTGAAATCAAAAACTTTGAGAACTGCTATGATAGCATGACGAGTGGTGATTAGGTTCTCTTTTGTCCCATTCTCTCAAACCCAGGCTTAGCTGACTTAGCTTCAATTTCTTTGTAGAAGGGAAAATGACCTACTTCATTCACCTGGTTGTTGTAAAGAATTAAGCATAGGGCCTGTTGTTAATATCACTATTTCTATGTGCGAGTCCTTGTATGAAATGGTAAGAGGGATGTCATTCCCTTCCCTCCTGGAGTGTTGGATGTAATGAGGAAGATGAACTTATCAACAGGGTGACTAATTCACCCCATGAAACCCTTCAGACCAGACAAACTGGGACAGTTGATCACTGTACAATAAGTATATACTTGACAGAATGAATTGGGTTTTATAAAAGACTTGCAAGCAATATGCCAGAAGACACCTAAATGTGGGACCTGACATAGCATCCTGAAGGAGGTGACATTTAAGTTCTTCAGTATACTATTAGGATTTTGGTAGAGTACACAATCAAAAAAAGTACCTCGGCATTAAAAATGTGAACAAAGACCCCAAAGTGTGAAGAGAAGGACGTGTCCCAAAGATACAAAGCAGTAACCCCAATTAACACAGAAACTGCTTTCTTTCCTTCAAAATACACATCACAATTTATAATTCAATATTTTTTAGTTTATTTAATATTTTTAAGCTTTGGGAGGACAGGGACCAGGTCTGCTTTATTTAGCCCTGCATGGTACTGCATATACAAAGCACTCCACAAATATTTGTCCAATCAGTGAATGTGAAAAGCATATAAAGTCAGGCCTTTTGTGAAACCAAAAGTATTTTCTGAAACTATTCAAGGTCTTAACTTGCAATTCTTTACACCCAGAAGGGAATTCAGAATGACCACTCATTCTCCTTAAAATCTCTTTGCTTTCTTTCCCATCTACCTATCAGTTATTTTCACATACTGCAGCTCTGGCTTCCACCCTCCTGCATTGGCCTTTCTTCCCACCTCCTACTTTTCTCCCAATTCTTCATCATAAAAGACCAAAGGCTACTCTGGATTCAAGGGCTTCACCTCGGCTCAGAGGGCCAGAAAGAGGGAAAACTTTAAGCCAGGTTCAAGGCCCAGGAGAAGGAAAGATAAAGAATACTTTCTATGTGTGCTCATGCATCACATAGGAACGTACTGTTGACATAAGAAACATCCAAACCTGTAAAGAATTTCTATAAGATTTTATTTGAGCCAAAGTGACAATTGCCAGGAAGCAAGAGCTCAAATGAAATGGAGAATGACAGTTTGGCAGTTTCTTCCATGCATTTATAACTAAGGAAGATTACCTGGAGGTGGGAGAAAGCAAGGTGAAGATTTAGATTATAGGACAGTTAACAAGATTATTTGCTCTCTTGAAGGAGGTTACCCTTATTCTAACCTAAACGCAAATAAACAATGGACAGGGCTTGCTGGAGACAAAGATAAAACTTTTACTAAAAAAAGTTATAGGCCTGGGGCATGACTGCCCTCCATGACCTGCCCAGTTAGGAATTTATGATCAGGTCACCCTGTGAGATTACTTTCCCTTGAACCCTCACCCCCCCCTTTTTTTTTTGTCTACAATATGAATTAACTCATCTAACACACCATATTCTTATTTATTTATTTGTTTGTTTGTTTGTTTATTTATTTATTTATTTATTTGCCTGTTGCCTGGGATGTAGTGAGTACACAATGAAGATCCAGCTCTTGCCTGAGAATTTCAACAACCCTCCCCTACTCCCACCTCTTTAGTTCATGTTTGTCTCGTTCTCAAAATCTGCTTGTCATGGTTCGTAGGCACAGAAAGTACTTTGGATTTCAAGTCCTTGGTGCTCTGTGTTCTCTCAATGTTTTCTTTCTTAAATGTGAAAAGAGCCCAGTAGAATTTTTGAGAGAGAGAGAGCGTGAGCACCTTTCCGAATGCCTCCTTAGGTCCTTCCTTTCTGTTTCCCACCCACACTGTCACCATGAAAGAGTGGGGACTCTGGAGCTAAATCTAGAGCTCTCTGGCTGCTGTTTCATTGCTGTGCACCTCTGAGATCCACACATGAATATCCTGTCTGAATCAGAGACCAGGGACCGTTAGGAGTCCCTTGTCAAATAGACCTCAACTTGCTGACCAGGCCACAAAACTCTTATCACCAAACAATGTCTTTTCAGAAGGTCACTTGCTAGGAAGGCAGGATACGTGGCCAACCTAGAAATCCAGGGCTTTGGCTGGCTCTTATCAGCAACTAGCCTTGCAAGTTTGAACAGAACCTTTTATCTTTCTAGTCTTCTGTTTCCTCTTCTACACACTGTGGAGTTTGCTGACCCCTCCATCCTTTACATCTTGGAATCCTGCCTTGAGCCCCACTGGTAATTTTCCTCTCTTAATCAGTCAACAAATATTTGTGAACATGCCCATATGCTCAGGCACCTTACTAGGTGCATTTGATTGCCCATTACTCTGGTTTCTCTGTAAGTTTTCTTTTTTCAAGAAAAACGACAAAAATATAAAGAGCTCTGAGAGCTCTGGGAGGAAGCTTCTTACTGGGAGACACTTGTCTACCCACAGGGGTGGGAGTGGGGTGTCTCCCTCTAAAGCCCTCTCCACCCTCTTCACTCTCTGGCTCATGGAAACAAAGAGGAGGCCATAGGTTTCCCAAGGCTTCTCAGAGTAACCCTAACATTTTCTCCTTTTTCCGAACGCTTCAAGTCCCAGAACTACATTCTTCTGGAGATGTTTAAAATGGGTTTTGTAGCATTGTTATGCACTCACGTTTGCAGGTTTTGGTGATACCGACTTTATCAGCTCTTTCTGCTGACTGTTCTGGTAGGTGGGTCAGTGCTTTAATTACCCTGTGTCACGGCCAGAGAGCCAGGAAGCAGTTCACCCAGGGTCAGTGAGAGCATGAAGATATGAAGATAAAATAAATAAATAAAACAAGTTCCCAAATCTAGCTGGGGCCATTTCTGCATGTGATATCCTTGCACTGAGAAGTCCAAAATGAGTTGATACCTCCCCAGACCCATTTACTTTAAACCAAGAACCCACAAGAGAAACTTGGAGCAAAACACATACTGGACTCTTCATGTAACAAATGACAAATTGAAACTAACCTGGGGCTGCAGGTCTCTGTGGATGCCTGTCTCTATGCCTCCAGTCTCTCTAGGATGTAGAGGATAGAATCAAGCTACTGAATAAAGGATTTTGTATCATAGTATTTGAATTTCAGAGGGGAAATTGTCATGTGATTAAGTACACGAGGAGATAACAATGGCATTGTCTAAGAAAGGATGACATTCAGGGTCCCTCAGGACACCTAAACTGTCATCACATTGCCGAGAGAAAAGGCTTCACCTTTGCAGTTCAGGTCCTCAGCTGTTCAGTGGTGCCAGATGTGAGAGATTGGCTTATGATAACCATTAGACTGGAATATAAAACAGAAGGGCAAATTATTAATTTACAAAAAGAAATACAGCTGTTAAGCAGATCCCATTGGAGAGCACACAGAGAAAATGAAATTGTCACTCTAAAATTCCTTGGTCAGCCTGTTCAATATAAAGCTCTACTCCTATCAGCTGTGTGACTTTTTAGTGTACATGTGGCATACACTTTATACATACCTCTGTCTCTCTACCTACCTACCTTTCTGTAAATTTACATGGCTCAAACACAAATACAGAAAGGTATATAATGAAATATTTCTTATTCATCCCATCACCCAACTCTGCAGTTTCTACTGCCTACTCCCCAGGGGACTACACTATGTTGTTTCATGTTTCCATCCTGTATATTTATGAATATATAAGCTAAGAAAAATATAGATCTTTATTTGGACAGGAGGCAAGTTTCTGAATTTTTCAAGTCTTGGCATGTTCAGTACTCATTAATCATTGGTCATTATTCTTTTTAATGATAATGATGTTGATAAACCTTTCCATAGCTCTCCATCTCCTCAGGATATGGTCCATGGCTCCTAGGACCCTCTTTTCTGCCCTAAGGACCAGCTTCATCTTTGGCTCCCACCTCCTTTCATGGCAATTCTACTTTATCCTTCAGTTCTTTAAAGACGCCATGTTATCCAGGCCTTTGAACATGCTGTTCCCTTTGCTTGGGACATTCTTCTCTTCCTGAAACACATTCTCCCCTCCCATCCCATCCTCTGGCTAATCTCCAATTCATCTTTTAGTGTGTTTAACGGAAAACCACAAGCCTAAAATGGCATCACTCCTGCCGAAAGCTTATGATACCAAACCTAAATACCTGATTCTAATTGTAGTTTCAACCTCTCCCAGAAGCGCAATCTCAATCAATCAGTCTGAAATTTCCTGAACAACACCAGTGTGGTATCTGCCTGATAAGACCCCCTGCCTCCCCCAAAGAAAAGGTGTTCTTGCCTAAATAATCCACTCATCGAATTTCTTAGTCCCACCCTCTCTCTGTCTATAAATATCTTTCATTTTGTACAATTCATGGCAGTGCCCTTCTAGTTGCTAGATGGGATGCTGCCCAATTCATGAATTGCTTAAGAAAGCCAATTAGATCTTCGAATTTATCTGGTTGTATTTTGTTTTTTAACAAGGTCTTGGCTCAGAATCACTGTGTTTGTGCCTGTCTCCTTTCATCAGCACCATGTTCTTTCACATTCATGGTACTTTTATTCTCATAGCACTTAGTCAGTCATTCATTTGTTTGCCAAATATTTATCTAGTGCCAATCGCATGCCAGGCGTTGTTCTAGGCTCATCTACCACACTGTATTGTGGCTGCCTGCTTCAGTGCTTCATATATCTTTGTGTGTATATGTACATATATATATACACACTCATATTTCACTGTAATTCACATACCATAAATTCACCCTTTTAAGTGTATAATTCAGCAGTTGTTAGTATATTCACAAGTTTGCACAACCATCACCATTATCTAATTCCAGAACATTTCACCACTCCAAAAAGAAACCATCAGCAGTCATTCTCCATTTTCCCCTCCCTCCGGGCCCTGGCAATGATTAACATTTCTATCTCAATGGATTTGCCCTTTCTGGACATTTCGTATAACTGGAATCACACAATATGTAGTCTTTTGTGGATTGGCTTATTTTACTCAGCACAATGTTTTCAAGGTTCACGCATGTTGTAGCATGTATCAGCACTTGATTTCTTTTTATGTCTGAATAATAGTCCATCGTATGGATATACCATCTGTGCTTTATCCATCATCAGCTAATGAACATTTGGGTTGCTTCCGCTTTTTAGCTGTTTTGAGTAACACTGTGAATATTCATATATAAGTTTTTCTGTGGACATACATTTTCATGTCTTTCGGAAATAGGCCTAGGAATGGAACTGTTGGGTCATATGATCTCTAATTTTTTTGAGGAATTGCCAGACTGTTTTCCACAGCAGGTGTACCATTTTACATTCCCACCAGCATTTAAAAGGGTTCCAAAAACATGTCGCTAACACTTGTTATTGTCCTCTTCGATTTAGCCATCCTAGTGGGTATGATGTGATTCTTCTGAAGCTCTATGAGAACAAGGACTTCCTCTGTCTGGCTCACCACTGTATCCCAGAACCCAGTGCAGTGCCTGGCATTTATTAAATACTCATATTTTGTTCAATACACTAAAAAAAGTATTGAATTAATAGGTAAATCAGAAGCTAGTTAGATGGTTACAATATTTATCATGTATTTATCTCCCCAACAGAGATCTGTCAAAGGATCCAGTATTCTTTTTTCTGCTCAGTACTGAACTAGACCTTTTCTGTTACCATGGTCATTCTTCAGGGAGGAAATTGGGTTAAATTTAAGCTTTCTTGTTTTTTTCTTCGGATCACTCTTTTGGATCCTTAGGTGTGCACAGATTCATCATTTAGGCACTTACAGATAATTTCTTGGGTATTGGAACATTTTGTTTTTTCCTGTGCTCATTTCTCCTGCAGAACTCTTGACTTCCTTCTGCAAGGCTTTTTCTCACTCCCAAGCACTCCATGCTCGCATAAAGCCTTCTTCCTGTTTCTTTCCAAGCTGCTCACACTGGGGCAATCAATACCTGTGACAGACCAGCTCTTCTTTGGGAGGTTTTCATTTAATATTTCTCTACACCTTTGTTGACATAAAAAACATCCAAACCCATAGAGAATTTTTATGAGTTTATTTGAGCCAAACTGATGACAATTGTCAGGAAGCGAGATCTCACATGCTCCAGAGAATGACAATTTTAAAGTTTCTTTTATACATTTGGAATTAAGTGGGGAACATAAGGAAGATTACCCAGAGGTGGGAGAAAGCAGGGTATAGGATAGTTAACAAGATTTTATGTTCCCTTGAATGTAGTTATGTGCCCCTTCAGGGGGTCTGAAAACAAGCCTTTTACTGAAAAAGTTATATGCCTGGGTGTGACTACTCACCATGACCTGCCCAGTTAGGAATTTATGATCAGATCACCCTGTGAGGTTACGTACCATTAGATTTATTACAGAACCCCTTTTTCATCCACACTGTTTTGGCTTCTTGATTTGAAAGTCAGTTAGGCCAAGGACTGGGTGATGCTCATAGCCAGCACTCAGTACTTGAAAAATAGTGAATGAATGAATGAATGAATGAGAATATGTGAGAGGGACATATTGCAAAATACAGATTTAGTCGATAAACATTTACTGAGTACCCACTGTGTCTCAGGCCCTGTGGTGCAAGCCAGAATAAAAAGTAAATAAAACAGGGGACCCACGTTGGTCTAGGGAGTTTCTAAAATCACTGATTTTAGCTGCATTATTCCATTTTCAAGACTCTTTTCACCTTTTATCCTACAACTAATGATTTATTTTCAGGATCACTTTTTAGCTAAGGTATGTATCTACTCATTTGCTTAAGCCTCAGATAGGAAGTTCTGATCTACTGTCAGCAAAATCCTGAGTCACAAGTGCCCCAGTGCGCTGTTGACCCCCAAACAGCTAAAAATCCCCCAAACGCTAAGCTTCCAGATCTTAGGGGTACTTGGATGGGGAACCTCCGAAAGAACGGACAGCGCATCCACCAGAGGGTGCTGTAGGGGCAAATTTGTGCCAGGAGGTGAGCTTGACCAGTGACCCTCTGAGCCAGGTGTTCTGAGTAATCTTCAGTCTTACGTTTCCTTCCCACCCCTTTGATCCATCGCCGCCCCTCCCCCACAAGTGATTCCCCTGAATTATTAGTCACTTTCAGGGACTTAAAGAGTGCTTGCTTTGAAAAACGCGTTGCTTCTGTTCCTGACGCCCCGTGCCTCAGGCCACTAAGCCTACTGGCCCGCGGGAGCTGGGTGGCTGGGTGGGGGCCTCCCGAGTCTTACGTTTCCTTCCCACCCCTTTGATCCATCGCCGCCCCTCCCCCACAAGTGATTCCCCTGAATTATTAGTCACTTTCAGGGACTTAAAGAGTGCTTGCTTTGAAAAACGCGTTGCTTCTGTTCCTGACGCCCCGTGCCTCAGGCCACTAAGCCTACTGGCCCGCGGGAGCTGGGTGGCTGGGTGGGGGCCTCCCGGGCATCAGCAGCTGGACGCCGCAGGGGCCGCGAAGGGGTTAAGCCGGCGGGGGGGAGGGGGGGGCGCGG